GGTGTGTCCAGGTGTGCCCAGATGTCCCCAGGTGCCCCCCAGATGTGTCCAGGTGTGTCCAGGGGGGTTCAGGTGTCCCCAGGTGCGTCCGAGGGTCCCTCAGGTGTCCCCAGGTGCCCCCCAGATGTGCCCCAGGTGTGCCCAGGGGGGGTTCAGGTGTCCCCAAGTGTCCCCAAGTGCCCCCAGGTGTGTCCAGGTGTGCCCAGGTGTCCCCAACTGTTCCCCAGGTGCCCCCCCAGATGTGTCCAGGTGTGTCCAGGGGGGTTCAGGTGTCCCCAGGTGTGTCTGGGGGTCCCTCAGGTGTCCCCCAGGTGTGTCCAGGGGGGTTCAGGTGTCCCCAACTGTTCCCCAGGTGCCCCCCAGATGTGTCCAGGTGTGTCCAGGGGGGTTCAGGTGTCCCCAGGTGTGTCTGGGGGTCCCTCAGGTGTCCCCCAGGTGTCCCCAGGTGTGTCTGGGGGTCCCTCAGGTGTCCCCCAGGTGTGTCCAGGGGGGTTCAGGTGTCCCCAACTGTCCCCAGGTGCCCCCCAGATGTGCCCCAGGTGTGTCCAGGGGGGTTCAGGTGTCCCCAGGTGTGTCCGAGGGTCACTCCGGTGTCCCCCAGGTGTCCCCAGGTGTGTCCGGGGGTCACTCAGGTGTCCCCCAGGTGTGCCCAGGGGGGGTTCAGGTGGCCCCAAGTGTCCCCAAGTGCCCCCAGGTGTGTCCAGGTGTGCCCAGGTGTCCCCAACTGTCCCCAGGTGCCCCCCCAGATGTGCCCCAGGTGTGTCCAGGGGGGTTCAGGTGTCCCCAGGTGTGTCTGGGGGTCCCTCAGGTGTCCCCCAGGTGTCCCCAGGTGTGTCTGGGGGTCCCTCAGGTGTCCCCCAGGTGTGCCCAGGGGGGGTTCAGGTGTCCCCAAGTGCCCCCAGGTGTGTCCAGGTGTGCCCAGGTGTGCCCAGGGGGGGTTCAGGTGGCCCCAAGTGTCCCCAAGTGCCCCCAGGTGTGTCCAGGTGTGCCCAGGTGTCCCCTAGGACACGTCCCCGTCGGGGGGGGACACTGGGGACAGAGGGGACAGAGGGACATTGGGGGGATTTGGGGACATTGGGAGGGTTGGGGACATTGGGGACAGGGGGAACAGGGGGGACATGGCTGGGGGGGAAGGTGACACCGGGGGGGACACGGGGACAGTCCCGGGGGGGTGACAATGTCCCAAAAAGAGTGACACCGGGGGGGTGGCACTGTCCCCAAGGGGGTGGCACTGTCCCCAAGGGGGTGGCACTGTCCCCAAGGGGGGGGTGGCACTGTCCCCAGGGGGGTGGCACTGTCCCCAAGGGGGGGGTGGCACTGTCCCCAAGGGGGGGGTGGCACTGTCCCCAAGGGGGGGTGACAATGTCCCCAAGGGGAGGGTGGCACTGCCCCCAAGGTGGGGGCAATGTCCCCGGGGGGGGTGGCACTGTCCCCAAAGCGGTGACAATGTCCCCAAGGGGGGGAGGGTGACAATGTCCCCAAGGGGGGGTGGCAGTGGCGCCGCGCTGTCGCCGCTGACGGTGACATCGGGAGGGGACACCGGGAAGGGCACGCGGTGGCCTTGGGGACATCGGGGACAGTCGGGGGGGGGACACGGTGGCCTTGGGGACAGCGGGGACACGGCGGTGGCGCCGCGAGGTGGCCTTGGGGTGGCGCCGGCGGCGGGGGTGGCACCGGGGGGACACCAGGGTGACACTGGTGGTGGCACTGGGGACATTGATGGTGGGGACAGTGGGGTGACACTGGGGTGGCACCGGTGGGGACAGTGGGGTGGCACCGGGGGGGACACCGGGGGGACACTGGGGACATTGATGGTGGCACTGGCGTGGCACTGGTGGCACTGGTGGGGACACTGATGTGACACTGGTGGCACTGGTGGGGACATTGATGGTACACTGGTGGTGACACTGGTGGGGACAGTGATGGGGACATTGATGGTGGCACTGGGGTGACACTGATGGGACACTGGTGGGGACAGTGATGTGACACTGATGGTGGCACTGGTGGGGACAGCAGTGTGGCACTGGGGTGGCACTGGTGGCACTGGTGGGGACAGCGATGTGACACTGGTGGGGACACTGATGTGACACTGATGGTGGCACTGGGGTGGCGCTGGTGGGGACATTGATGGGGACACTGATGTGACATTGATGGTGGCACTGGGGTGGCACTGGTGGCACTGGTGGGGACAGCGATGGGACAGCGGGGTGGCACTGATGGTGGCACTGGTGGTGGCACTGATGTGACACTGATGGTGGCACTGGTGGGGACAGCGATGGGACAGTGATGGTGGCACCAGGGTGGCACCGGGATGGCCCTGGTGGGGACAGTGATGGGACACTGATGGTGGCACTGGTGGGGACAGTGGGGTGGCACTGGGGTGGCACCAGTGGCACTGCTGGGGACAGCGATGGGACACTGATGGTGGCACTGGTGGGGACATCAATGGGACATTGATGGTGGCACCGGGGTGACACTGGGGTGGCACTGGGGTGGCACTGGTGGGGACGTTGATGGTGGCACTGGGGTGGCACCAGGGTGACACTGATGTCACATTGGTGGTGGCACTGGTGGGGACACTGATGGGACACTGATGGTGGCACTGGGGTGACAATGGTGGGGACAGTGATGGGACATTGATGGTGGCACTGGTGGGGAAAGCGATCTGACACTGGTGGTGGCACTGGTGGCACTGGGGTGACAGCGATGGGACACTGATGGTGGCATCGGTGGGGACACTGATGGTGGCACTGGGGTGGCACTGGGGTGGCACTGGTGGGGACAGTGATGGGACACTGGTGGTGGCACTGGGGTGACACTGGTGGTGGCACTGGGGTGACATTGGTGGTGGCACTGGTGGGGACACTGATGGGACACTGATGGTGACACTGATGGTGGCACTGGGGTGGCACTGGGGTGACACTGATGGTGGCACCAGGGTGGCACTGATGTGACATCGATGGTGGCACTGTGGTGACACTGGTGGGGACACTGATGTGACATTGATATGACACTGGTGGGGACAGCAATGGGACACTGATGGTGGCACTGGGTGGCACTGGTGGGGACACTGATGGGGACAGCGATGGGACATTGATGGTGACACTGGTGGGGACAGTGATGTGACACTGATGGGGACACTGGGGTGGCACTGGGGTGGCACCGGGGTGACACTGGTGGGGACAGTGATAGGACACTGATGGTGGCACCAGGGTGGCACTGGTGGGGACATTGATGGGACACTGGTGGGGACAGTGGGGTGACACTGATGGTGGCATTGGTGGGGATAGTGATGGTGGCACTGGTGGCACTGGTGGGGACAGCGATGGGACAGCGATGTGACACCGACGGTGGCACCAATGTGACACTGATGTGACATTGATGGTGGCACTGGTGGTGGCACCGGGGTGGCACTGGTGGGGACAGCAATGGGACACTGATGGTGGCACTGGGGTGGCACCAGTGGGGACACTGATGTGACACTGGTGGTGGCAGTGGTGGGGACAGTGGGGTGGCACCGGGGTGACACTGGTGGGGACAGTGATGTGACACTGATGGTGACAATGTCCCCAAGGGGGGGGTGGCACTGTCCCCAAGGGGGGTGACAATGTCCCCAAGAGGGGGAGGGGCAGGGTGGCACTGGCGCCGCTCTGTCGCCGCCGACGGCGACAATTGCGACATTCGGGGCTGGCCCCGCCCCTCCCCCACCCCCGCCGGGCCCCAAATCCCAATTTTGGGGTTTTTGGGTTTGGGGGAATTTTGGGGGTTTTTTTTAGGGCATTTTTTTTGCTTTTTTTGGGATTTTTTGGGGTCTTTTTTTGGGGTTTTTTGGGGTTTTTTTTAGGGCATTTTTTTTGCTTTTTTTGGGATTTTTTGGGGTCTTTTTTTTGGGTTTTTTGGGGATTTTTTGGGGTCTTTTTTTGGGTTTTTTTGGGGATTTTTTTGGGGTCTTTTTTTGGGGGGTTTATTAGTGATTTTTGGGATTTTTTTGGTGATTTTTGGGTTTTTCGGGGTTTTTTGTTGTTTTTTTTTTAGTGGGGTTTTGGGTCATTTCTTCACAAATTTTTGGTGTTATTGGGTTATTTTGGTGGGTTTTTGGGGGTTTTTCTGCAGTTTTTTTAGACATTTTTTGTGTGTTTTTTTGGTATTTTGGTGAGTTTTGTTTTTTCGGGGTTTTTGGGGCTTTTTAGAGATTTTTTGGGGCTTTTTGGGGGGCTTTTCTGTGTTTTTTTAGACATTTTTTGTAGTTTTTTGGTATTTTGGTGAGTTTTGTTTTTTCGGGGTTTTTGGGGCTTTTTCGAGATTTTTTTGGGGTTTTTTTTGTGGGTTTTTTGGAGCTTTTCTGTGTTTTTTTAGAGATTTTTTGTGGTTTTTTCGGGTATTTTGGTGGGTTTTGTTTTTCGAGGTTTTTGGGCTTTTTAGAGATTTTTTAGAGGTTTTTTTGGGTATTTTGGTGAGTTTTGTTTTTTCGGGGTTTTTGGGGCTTTTTAGAGATTTTTTGGGTTTTTTGGGGGGCTTTTCTGTGTTTTTTTAGACATTTTTTGTAGTTTTTTTGGTACTTTGGTGAGTTTTGTTTTTTCGGGTTTTTTGGGGCTTTTTAGAAATTTTTTGGGGTTTTTTTGGTGGGTTTTTGGGGGCTTTTGTGTGTTTTTTTAGAGATTTTTTGGGTATTTTGGTGGGTTTTGTTTTTTGGGGGTTTTTGGGGCTTTTTAGAGATTTTTTTTTGGTTTATTTTGGGGGGGATTTTTTTGGAAGAGTTTTTGGGTTTTTTTTGGGGTGGGGTTTTTTTTGTGTGTTTTTTGTATCTTTTCTTGGGAATTTCGGTTTTTTTTAATTTTTAAAATATTTTTTTTTGTTTTTTTCCCCCCATTTCCAGCCTCGCCCCTCCCCCACCCAAACCCCCCCAACCCCCCCCATGGGTGGGGGAGGGGCCGCCCCTCCCCCTCCCCCTCCCCCTCCCCCTCCCCCCACATCACAAAATCCTCGCGGGACCGAATTAATGAATTCCAATCACGGTAATTAATTACAAACGGGGGGTGGGGGGGGGTGGGGGAGGGGCGGGGTGGGGGAGGGGTCCCCGGGGGTGGGGGAGGGGCCGCGGTCACTGCGGGGTCCCCTCGGGGGTCCCGTCCAGGCCCCGCTGCTGCAGCTGCGCCCTGAGCACCGCGTTCTCGTTTTTCAGCTCCTCCACCTGCCAAAAAAACCCAAAACACCCCAAAAAAACCCCCAAAAAACCCCCAAAAATTCAACATCTCCGAATCCACCAAAATCCCCCTTTTTACCCCACGGTTTGAGCCCCAAATTCCCAAATATTCCCCCCAAAATTCTGAATTTCCCGCCCCAATATTCCGAATTTTCCACCCCAAAATCACAAAATTTCTGCCCCCCAAAATTACAAAATTTCCGCCCCAAAAATTCCAAAATTTCTGCCCAAAATCCTGAAATTTCCACACCAAATTCCCAAAGTTTTACCCCAGTCGCCAAAAGCTTCACCCAAAATTTCACAAGTTCTATCCCAAGTTCCAAAATTTCCCCTCCAAAATTCCAACATTTCAGCCCAAAATTCCAAAATTTCCACCCCAAATTCCACCATTTCCACATGAATTTCCAAAATTTTTGTCCTAAAATCCCAAATTCTCCCCCAGAATCCCTCAAATCCCCCCTAAAATCCCCAAATTTTCACCCAACCCCCCCAAAATCCCCAAATCCCCCTCAAAATGCCCAAATTTTTACCCAACCTCCCCCAAAAGCCGCCAAATTTCCCCCAAATCCCAAATCCCCCCCAAAATCCCCAAATTTTCACCCAACCTCCCCCAGAAGCCCAAAAGCCGCCAAATTTCCCCCAAAATCCCCAAATTTCCCCTCAAAATCCCCAAATTTCCCCCAAAATCCCCTATTTTCCCCCTCAAAATCCCCAAATTTCCCCCAAATTCCCTCCAAAATTCCAATTTCCCCACAAAACTTCCCGATTTTTCCCCTCAAAATCCCCAAATACCCCCCAAAATTTCCCCGTTTTCCCCTCAAATATCCCAAATTTCCCCCCAAAATTCTGAATTTTCCGCCCCAAAATCCCAAAATTTCTGCCCCCCAGAATTCCAAAGTTTCCGGCCCAAAATTCCAGAATTTCCACCCCGAAGTTCCTGCCCCAAAATCACAACATTTCAACCCCAGATTCCAAAAATTTTCACCCCAAAATCCCAAATTCTCCCCCAGAATCCCTCAAATCTCCCCCGAAATCCCCAAATTTTTACCCAACCTCCCCCAAAGCCCCAAAATTCCACCCAAATCCCAAATCCCCCCCAAAATCCCCAAATTTTCACCCAACCTCCCCCAGAAGCCGCCAAATTTCCCCCAAAATCCCCAAATTCCCCTCAAAATCCCCAAATTTCCCCCAAATTTCCCCCAAAATCCCCAAATCCCTCCCAAAATCCCCAAATTTCCCCCAAATTCCCTCCAAAATTCCAATTTCCCCACAAAACTTCCCAATTTTTCCCCTCAAAATCCCCAAATACCCCCCAAAATTTCCCCGTTTTCCCCTCAAATATCCCAAATTCCCTCCGAAAATTCCCAAATTTCCCCCCAAAATCCCCCCCGAAATCCCAAATTTCCCGCCAAATCCCAAATTTCCCCCCGAAATCCCAAATTTCCCGCCAACCCCCCCCCCACCCCATTCTCCTTTTTTTATCAATGAACCCGTGGGAACCGCGCGCTCAGGAGGGGGCGTGGCCAACACCCATATAAGAACAAAGCCACGCCCACTCTGGGCGTGGCCACCCCGATGGGGGCGTGGCCTCCCCATTGACCCGCGCCGCCGCTTTCGCGGGCGATTTTCGGGGCGATTTTCGGGGCGATTTTTGGGGCGATTTTTGGGGTTTTTTTGGGGTTTTTTTTTGGGGCGATTTCGGGGTTTTTCGGCGCACCTGCTGCCGCAATAGGTCGTTGTCCATCTGCAGCCGCTCGGCCTCTTTGAAGGTCTCCTGCAGGCGCTGGTTGCTCTGGCGCAGCTCCCGCACGTAATCGCACGCCTTGGACAGGATCCCGCCCTTGCTCTGCGCGACCCCTCCCCGAAATTACCCCGGGACCCCCAAAATTACCCCGGGACCCCCAAAATTACCCTGGGAACCTCCAAAATTACCCCGGGACCCCCCAAAAATTACCCCGGGACCTCCAAAATTACCCCAGTACCCTCCAAAAATACTCTGGGAACTGCCACAATTACCCCGGGACCCCCCAAAAATACCCCGGGACCCCCCAAAAATTACCCCAGGACCCCCAAAATTACCCGAGACCCCCCCAAAAATAACCTGGGACCCCCAAATTACCCTGGGACCCCCAAAAATACTCTGGGAACCCCCAAAAATAACCTGGGAACCCCAAAAATACCCTGGGAACCTCCAAAATTACCCTGGGAACCTCCAAAAATTACGCCGGGAACCTCCAAAATTACCCCGGGACCCCCAAAAACTACCCTGAGACCTCCAAAATTACCCCGGGACCCCCAAATTACCCTGGGAACGTCCAAACCGGCCCCGGGACCCCCAAAAATTACCCTGGGACCCCCCAAAAATACTCTGGGAACCTCCAAAATTACCCCAGGACCCCCAAATTACCCTGGGACCCCCAAAAATTACCCTGGGAACCTCCAGAAATACCCTGGGAACCTCCAAAATTACCCCAGGACCCCCAAAATTACCCCTGGACCCCCCAAAAATTACCCTGGGAACCTCCAAAAATACCCTGGGAACCCCAAATTACCCCGGGACCCCCAAATTACCCTGGCACCGCCAAAATTACCCCGGGACCCCCAAACCGGCCCTGTTTACCCCCAAAACCGCACCAGGTCCCCCCAAAAATTACCCCGGGACCCCTCAAAATTACCCAGGGACCCCCAAAAATTACCCTGGGACCCCCCAAAAATTACCCTGGGAACCCCCAAATTACCCTGGCACCTCCAAAATTACCCCGAGACCCCCAAACCGGCCCCATTTACCCCCAAAATCCACCTGCGGATGCCCAAATTACTCTGGGAGCCCCAAAATTACTCTGGGAACCTCCAAAATTACCCCGGGACCCCCAAAATTACCCCGGGACCCCCAAAATTACCCCGGGACCCCCCAAAAATTACCCCGGGACCCCCAAACCGGCCCCATTTACCCCCAAAATCCACCTGCGGACCCCAAAATTACTCTGGGAACCCCAAAATTACTCTGGGAACCTCCAAAATTACCCCGGGACCCCCAAAATTACCCCAGGACCCCCCAAAAATACCCTGGGAACCTCCAAAATTACCCTGGCACCTCCAAAATTACCTCGGGACCCCCAAAACCGCACCAGGACCCCCCCAAAATTACCCCGGGACCCCCAAATTACCCTGGGAACGTCCAAACCGGCCCCGGGACCCCCAAAAATTACCCTGGGACCCCCCAAAAATTACCCCAGGAACCCCAAAATTACCCTGGGAACCTCCAAACATACCCTGGGACCCCCAAACCAGCCCCATTTACCCCCAAAATCCACCTGCAGACGCCCAAATTACCCCGGAACCCCCAAAATTACCCCGGGACCCCCCCAAAATTACCCTGGGAACCCCAAAATTTCCCAATTTCCCCCCAAAATCCACCAATTTTGCCCAAAATCTCCAAGTTTCCCCTCAAAAGCCCCAAATTTTCCCCTCAAAAATCTCATTTTCTCCTCAAAATTCTCCCCAAAATCCCTGGTTTTCCTGAAATTCCCAAATTCTCTCCCCAAAATCCCCAAATTTCCCCTCCAAATCCCCCAATTTCCCCCCAAATCCCCCAAAGCTTTCCCAATTTTCCCCTCAAAAACCCCCAAAACCCCCAAATTTCACCCAAAATCTCCTCAAAATCCCCAAATTTCCCTAAAATCCTCAATTTCCCCCAAATCCCCAAATTTCCCCCCCAAAATCCTCCAAATTTTTCCCCATTTTCCCCAAAAATTCACCTTAAAATCCCCAATTTTCCCCCTAAAAATCCCCAAATTTCCCCCCAAACCCCCCAAAGTTTTCCCGATTTTCCCCTCAAAAATCCACCAAAACCCCCAAATTTCACCCAAAATCTCCTCAAAATCCCCAAAAATCCTCAATTTCCCCCAAAATCCCCAAATTTCCCCCCAAAATCCTCCAAATTTTTCCCCATTTTCCCAAAAATTCTCCTTAAAATCCCCAATTTTCCCCCTAAAATCCCCAAATCTCCCCCCAAACCCCCCAAAGTTTTCCCAATTTTCCCCTCAAAAATCCCCCAAAACCCCCAAATTTCACCCAAAATCTCCTCAAAATCCCCAAATTCCCCCAAAATCCTCAATTTCCCCCCAAACCCCCAAATTTCTCCCCCAAATTTTTCCCCATTTTCCCCGAAAATTCTCCTTAAAATCCCCAATTTTCCCCCTAAAATCCCCAAATTTCCCCCCAAATCCCCCAAAGTTTTCCCAATTTTCCCCTCAAAAATCCCCCAAAACCCCCAAATTTCACCCAAAATCTCCTAAAATCCCCAAATTTCCCCCAAAATCCTCAATTTCCCCCCAAACCCCCAAATTTCCCCCCAAAATCCTTCAAAATTTTCCCCATTTTCCCCCAAAATTCACCTTAAAATCCCCAATTTTCCCCCTAAAATCCCCAAATTTCCCCCCCCAACCCCCCAATTTTTTCCCAATTTTTTCCCGATTTCCCCCCAAAATTCCCCATAAATTCCCCCAAATCCCCGATTTTCCCAAAATCGCCGGAATTTGCCCCATTTGGCCGCTCACCGCCCCCGATTTGCCGCTGTCGGCGCCGCAGTCGGGGATGATTTTGGAGAGCTGCACAATCCAATTGTTGATCTTGTCCCGGCGCCGCCGCTCCACTGCGCGATTTGGGGGAAAAACGGGGGAATTTGGGAAAAACGGGGGAAAAGAGGAAAAAATCGGGGAAAAAACAAAAAAAAAATGGTGAAAATCGGGCGAGAAATGGGCGAGAAATGGGGGAAAATGGGGGAAATTAAAAAACAAAAAAATTGGGTGGAAATTGGGTGAGAAATGGAAAAAAATGGAGAAATTGGGAAAAAATGGGGGAAACACGGAAAAAAAGAAAAAATCCGGGAAAAAACAAAAAAAGAAGGTGAAAATTGGGCGAGAAATGGGGAAAAATGGGGGAAATCGGGGAAATTTTAAAAAAAATTGGGTGAGAAATGGAAAAAAAATTGAGAAATTGGGAAAAATGGGGAAAATGGGGAAGAAAGAAAAAATTGGGTGAAATACAAAAAAAAAGATGAAAATTGGGTGAGAAATGGGAAAAATGGGAAAAAATGGCAAAAATAAAAATAATTGGGTGAAAACCCAAAAAAAATTGGTTGAAAATTGGGGGAGAAATGGGGAAAAATTTGGGAAAATTTGGGATATTTGGGGATCTTGGCCCAGCCCAGGTGAGTTTGGAGCTGCCCATGTGTGCCCAGGTGTGCCCAGGTGTGCCCAGGTGTGCCCAGGTGCCTCCAGGTGTGCCCAGGTGTGCCCCAGGTGTGCCCCAGGTGTGCCCAGATGTGCCCAGGTGTGCCCAGGTGTGCCCAGGTGAGCCCAGGTGTGTGCCCAGGTGTGCCCAGATGTGCCCCCAGGTTGCCCAGGTGTGCCCCAGGTGTGCCCCCAGGTGTGCCCAGGTGTGCCCAGGTGTGCCCGGGTGTGCCCAAGTGTGTGCCCAGGTGTGCCCAGGTGCCCCCAGGTGTGCCCCAGGTGAGCCCAGGTGTGCCCCAGGTGCCCCCAGCTGTGCCCAGGTGTGACCCCAGGTGTGCCCAGGTGTGCCCAGGTGCCCCCAGGTGTGCCCCTCACCCTCGTTGTGCTGCGCTCGCCGTCGCTCGTCCCGTGGCACCCGCGGCCCCTCCAGCTTCCTGCGGGCACAGGTGGGCACAGGTGTGTCCCAGGTGTGTCCCAGGTGCCCCCCAGGTGTGCCCAGGTATCCCCCTGGTGCCCCTCAGGTATCCACAGGTGTGCCCAGGTGCCCCCCAGGTGTGCCCAGGTGCCCCCCAGGTACCCCCCAGGTGTGCCCAGGTACCCCCCAGGTGTTCACAGCTGCCCCCAACAGTGCCCAGGTGCCCCCAGCTGTGCCCAGTTGTGTGCCCAAACATCCCCAGGTGCCCTCCAGGTACCCCCAGGTGCCCCCCAGGTGTGCCCAGGTGCCCCCAGGTGTCTCCAGACTCCCCCAGGTGTGCCCAGGTGTGTCCCCAAATGCCCTCCCAATGCCCCCAGGTGTGCCCAGGTGCCTCCAGGTGCCCCCCAGGTGTGCCCAGGTATCCCCAGATGTGCCCAGGTGCCCCCCAGATGTGCCCAGGTGCCCCCAGGTGTGCCCAGGTGTGTGCCCAAACACCCCCAGGTGCCCCCCAGGTGTGCCCAGGTGCCCCCCAGGTGTGCCCAGGTATCCCCAGGTACCCTCAGGTGCCCTCCAGATGTCCTCAAACTCACCCAGGTGTGCCCAGGTACCCCGCAGGTATCCCCAGGTGCCCCCCAGCTGTGCCCAGGTGTGTGCCCAAACACCCCCAGGTGCCCCCCAAGAGTGCCCAGGTGTGCCCAGGTGCCCTCCAGGTACCCCCCAGGTATCCCTAGGTACCCCCAGGTGCCCCCAGGTACCCCTCAAGTATCCTCAGGTATTCACAGCTGCCCCCAACGGTGCCCATGCGCCCCCAGGGGTGCCCAGGTACCCCCAGGTGTGCCCAGATGTGTGCCCAAACCCCCCCAGGTACCCCCCAGGTGTGCCCAGGTGCCCCCCAGGTATCCCCAGGTGTGTCCAGGTGCCACCCAGATACCCCCCAGGTATCCCCAGGTGCCCCCAGGTGTGCCCAGCTGTGCCCAGGTGCCCCCAGGTGTGCCCAGGTGTGTGCCCAAACACCCCCAGGTACCCCTCAGGTATCCACCAGGTGTGCCCAGGTACCCCCCAGGTGCCCCCAGGTGTTCCCAACTGCCCCTCAGGTGTGCCCAGGTGCCCCCCAACACCCCCCAGGTATCCCCAGGTGTGCCCAGGGGTGCCCAGGTCTGCCCAGGTGCCCCCAGCTGGGCCCAGCTGCCCCCAGGTGTGCCCAGGTGTGTGCCGAAACACCCCCAGCTGTGCCCAGGTGTGCCCAGGTGCCCCCCAGGTGTGCCCAGGTGCACTCACGGCGAGTAGGCGTGGCCGTGGGGGGCGAGGCCGCGCGGGGCCCCTCCCCCCGCCTGCAGCACCTCCTGCGGCGCCATCATCACGTAGAACTGCCCTGGGGGGAGGGGCACACCTGGTGAGGCACCTGGGCACACCTGGGCACACCTGGGCACACCTGGGCACCCGCAGGGGGCGGCAACCCGGCCCAGGTGTGCCCCCAGGTGTGCCCAGGTGGGGGTTCCCTCCCCCCCAGGTGTGCCCAAGGGTGGGGGTTGTGCCCCCCAGGTGTGCCCAGCAGTGCCCAGGTGCCCCCCCAGGTGTGCCCAGGTATGCCCAGGTGTGCCCAGGTGAGGTTCCCTCCCCCCCAGGTGTGCCCAAGGGTGGAGTTTGTGCCCCCCAGGTGTGTTTTATCCCCCCCAGGTGTGCCCAGGTGGGGTTCGCTCCCCCCCAGGTGTGCCCAGGTGCCCCCAGGTGTGGTTTGGGTGTGCCCAGGTGTGCCCAGGTGTGCCCAGGTGCCTCCCCAGGTGTGTTTTGGGTGTGCCCAGGTGTAGTTTGGTGCCCCCCCAGGTGTGCCCAGGTGTGCCCAGGTGTGTTTTTCTCCCCCAGGTGTGGTTTGGTGCCCCCCCAGGTGTGCCCAGGTGTGGTTCCCTCCCCCCAGGTGTGCCCAAGTGTGTTTTGGGTGTGCCCAGCAGTGCCCAGGTGCCCCCCAGGTGTGCCCAGGTGTGTTTTGGGTGTGCCCAGGTGTAGTTTGGTGCCCCCCCAGGTGTGCCCAGGTGTGATTTCCCCCCCCAGGTGCCCATAGGTGTCCCCAGGTGCCCCCCAGGTGTGGGGTTTGTGCCCCCCAGGTGCCCCCAGGTGTGGTTTGGTGCCCCCCCAGGTGTGCCCAGGTGTCCCCCCAGATGCCCCCAGCTGTGCCCAGGTGTGGTTTGGGTGTACCCAGGTGCCCCCAGGTGCCCCAAGGTGTGCCCAGGTGCCCCCAGGTGCCCCCAGGTGCCCCCCCAGATGCCCCCAGGTGTTTTTGGTGTGCCCAGCAGTGCCCAGGTGCCCCCCAGGTGTGCCCAGGTGTGCCCAGGTGCCCCCCCAGGTGCCCCCAGATGCCCCCAGGTGTGCCTCACCTCCGGCCTGTGCCAGGGCGGGGTCGGCCTGCACGGCCACCGCCCCCTCCCCCCCCCAGGTGAGCCGCGCCTCGGCCCCGCCCTCGCCGGGGCTGCCGCCGTTGCTGAAGGGGTTCTGCAGCACCTGCGGGCACCAGGTGTCAGTGGGCATCAGGTGTCAGCGGCACCTGGGCACACCTGAGAGCCCGGAGCCCACCTGAGAGACCAAACCCACCCAGAGCCTGCCCAAACCCACCTGAGATCCACCTGAGAGCCTGGAGCCCACGGGAACCCACCTGAGATCCCAAATCCCACCCCGAACCCACCTGAGATCCCACCTGAGATCCTGAACCCACCTGGAACCCGCCTGAGATCCACCTGAGATCCCACCTGAGAGCCCACCTGAGATCCCAAATCCCACCCAGAGCCCACCTGAGAGCCCGGAGCCCATGGGAACCCACCTGAGACCCACCTGGGATCTCAAATCCCACCCGGAACCCACCTGAGACCCACCTGAGATCCCAAACCCCACCTGAGATCCCACCTGAGATCCCAAATCCCACCATGAACCCACCTGAGAGCCCGAACCCACCTGAGACCCACCTGAGAGTCCAAACCCACCTGAGAGCCCAAATCCCACCCAGAACCCACCTGAGATCCCACCTGAGACCCACCTGAGATCCCACCTGAGATCCCCAAACCCACCTGGAACCCCCAAACCCACCTCAGACCCCAAACCCACCTGAGATCCCACCTGGGACCCCAAACCCACCCAGAACCCACCTGAGATCCCACCTGAGACCCACCTGAGATCCCACCTGGAACCCCCAAACCCACCTGAGATCCCACCTGAGACCCACCTGAGAGCCTGAAGCCACCCGGAACCCACTGGAACCCACCTGAGATCCCACCTGAGACCCACCTGAGATCCCCAAAATCCACCTGAGATGCCCCAAACCCCACCTGGGCACCCCCAAATCCTCCCCAGGTGCCCCCAAATCTCACCTGGGACCCCCCAAACCCCACCTGGGACCCCCCAAACCCCACCTGGGACCCCCCAAATCTCACCTGGGACCCCCCAAACCCCCCCCAGGTGCCCCCCAGCCCCCACCCGAGCCCCGGGCGGTGCCCAGGTGTGCCCAGGTGTGCCCAGGTGAGCTCACCTGGGGGGTCCCGGCGAAGGAGGAGACGACGCCGACGGCCGCGGCCTCGGGGGCATCGAGCGGCGCCTCCGTCACCTGCACCACCCGGTAGGTCACCTGGGGAGAGGGGAGGGGCACACCTGGCACAGCTGGCACAGCTGGCACACCTGGGTGGGCTGACAACCTCACCTGGGTACACCTGGGTGGGCATAGAGCCTCACCTGGGCACACCTGGGCACACCTGGGTGGGCATGGAGCCACACCTGGGCACACCTGGGTGGGCATGGAGCCTCACCTGGGCACACCTGGGCACAGCTGGGCACACCTGGGTGGGCATGGAGCCCCACCTGGGCACACCTGGCACACCTGGGCACACCTGGCACAGCTGGGTGGGCATGGAGCCTCACCTGGGCACACCTGGGCACACCTGGGTGGGCTGAGGGCCTCACCTGGGCACACCTGGGCACACCTGGGTGGGCAGGGACAGCTCCATGCGCCACCCTAGGGACCCTTTAGGTGTGCCCAGGTGTGCCCAGGTGCCCCCAGGTGTGCCCAGGTGTGCCCAAACTCCCAATTTCCCCCAATTTTTTACAATTTCCCCCCAAATTTTTGCCTTTTCCCCCCATTTTCCCTCCCCCAGGTGTGCCCAGGTGTGCCCAGCTGTGCCCAGGTGTGCCCAGGTGTGCCCAGGTGCCCCCAGGTGTGCCCAGGTGTGCCCAGGTGTGCCCAAACTCCCAATTTCCCCCATTTTTTCTCAATTTCCCCCCAAATTTTTGAATTTCCTCCCCATTTTCCCTCCCCCAGGTGTGCCCAGGTGTGCCCAGGTGTGCGCCCAGGTGTGCCCAGGTGTGCCCAGGTGCACCCAGGTGTGCCCAGGTATGCCAAATTTCCCAATTTCCCCCACATTTTTTCAATTTCCCCCCAAATTTTTGCCTTTTTTCCCCGTTTTCCCTCCCCCAGGTGCCCCCAGGTGCCCCCAGGTGTGCCCAGGTGTGCCCAGGTGCCCCCAGGTGTGCCCAGGTGTGCCCAATTTCCCAATTTCCCCCAAATTTTCTCAATTTCCCCCCAAATTTTTGCCTTTCCCCCCCATTTTCCCTCCCCCAGGTGCCCCCAGCTGTGCCCAGGTGTGCCCAGGTGTGCCCAGGTGCCCCCAGGTGCCCCCAGGTGTGCCCAGGTGTGCCCAGGTGTGCCCAAACTCCCAATTTCCCCCCAAATTTTTGAATTTCCTCCCCATTTTCCCACCCCCACGTGTGCCCAGGTGTGCCCAGGTGTGCCCAGGTCTATCCCAGGTGTATCCCAGGTGTGCCCAGGTGTGCCCAGGTGTGCCCAAACTCCCAATTTCCCCCAAATTTTTTTCAATTTCCCCCCAAATTTTTGCCTTTTCCCCCCATTTTCCCTCCCCCAGGTGTGCCCAGGTATCCCCAGGTGTATCCCAGGTGTGCCCAGGTGCCCCCAGGTGAGTGCCCAGGTGCCCCCAGGTGTGCCCAGGTGCCCCCAGGTGTGCCCAGGTGTGCCCAGGTGTGCCCAAACTCCCAATTTCCCCCCAAATTTTTGAATTTCCTCCCCATTTTCCCTCCCCCAGGTGTGCCCAGGTGTGCCCAGGTGTGCCCAGGTGTGCCCAAACTCCCAATTTCCCACAAATTTTCTCAATTTCCCCCCAAATTTTGGCCTTTTCCTCCCATTTTCCCTCCCCCAGGTGCCCCCAGGTGTGCCCAAGTGCCCCCAGGTGTGCCCAAACTCCCAATTTCCCCCAAATTTTTGAATTTCCTCCCCATTTTCCCTCCCCCAGGTGCCCCCAGCTGTGCCCAGGTGCCCCAAGCTGTGCCCAGGTGCCCCCAGGTGTGCCCAGGTGCCCCCAGGTCTGCCCAAACTCCCAATTTCCCCCAAATTTTCTCAATTTCCCCCCAAATTTTGGCCTTTTCCCCCCATTTTCCCTCCCCCAGGTGCCCCCAGGTGTGTCCAGCTGTGCCCAGGTGCCCCCAGGTGCCCCCAGGTGTGTCCCAGGTGTGCCCAGGTGTGCCCAGGTGCCCCCAGCTGTGCCCAGGTGCCCCCAGGTGCCCCCAGGTGTGTCCCAGGTGTGCCCCAGGTGCCCCCAGGTGTATCCCAGGTGTGCCCAGCTGTGCCCAGGTGTGCCCAGGTATATCCCAGGTGCCCCCAGGTGTGTGCCCAGCTGTGCCCAGGTGCCCCCAGGTACCCCCAGCTGTGCCCAGGTGTGTCCCAGGTGTTCCCAGGTGTGTCCCAGGTGTGCCCAGGTGTGCCCAGGTGTGCCCAGGTGTATCCCAGGTGTGCCCAGGTGCCCCCAGGTGTGCCCAGGTGTGCCCAGGTGTGCCCAGGTGTGGCCAGGTGTGCCCAGGTGCCCCCAGCTGTGCCCCCAGGTGCCCCCAGGTGTGCCAGCTGTGCCCAGCTGTTACCTGGCCGCCGTTGCTCTCGCTCCTGAACTGGTACTGGAGCCCCCCCTCGGCGAAGCCCCCGGGGGGTCCCGGCACGGCGGCGACGGCGACGGCGCCCTCGGCGGGGGGGGCCTCACCTGGGGGGGGGAAACATCCCATAATAGTCCCCAAAATTACCCCAAATTGTCCCCAAAAACATCCCATAATAGTCCCCGAAATTACCCCAAATTATCCCCAAAATTATCTTAAATTATCCCCAAAAATATCCCGAATTATCCCCAAAATGTCTCAAATTATCCCCAAAATATTGTAAATTATCCCCAAAATCTGCCCTCACCTGGGGGGAAACATCCCATAATAGTCCCCAAAATTACCCCAAATTGTCCCCAAAAATTGCCGAAATTATCCCCAAAAATATCCCAAATTATCCCCAAAAATATCCCAAATTATCCCCAAAAATATCTTAAATTATTCCCAAAAATATTCCAAATTATCCCCAAAATCTGTCCTCACCTGGGGGGGGTAAACATCCCATAATAGTCCCCAAAACATCCCAAATTATCCCCAAAAATATCTCAAATTATCCCCAAAAACATCCCAAATTATCCCAAAAAATATCCCAAATTATCCCCCAAAAATATCTCAAATTATTCCCAAAAACATCCCAAATTATTCCCAAAGATATCCCAAATTATCCCCAAAAATATTCTAAATTATACCCAAAATATCCTAATTCATCCCCAAAAATATTCTAAATTAAATTATCCCCAAAATACCGTAAATAATCCCCCAAAATATTCTAAATTATACCCCAAAATATCTTAAATTACCCTCAAAAATATCCTAAATTATCTCCAAAATCTTCTAAATTAAATTATCCCCAAATTATCCCAATTTATCCCCAAAATCTGCCCTCACCTGCGGGTGATTCAGAAATTCCCCCCAAAATTCACCCAAAATCTCCCAAAAATTCAAAAAATTCCCCCAAAAATCTCCCAAAATTCAAAAATCCTCCCAAATACTCTGAAAAAATCAGGAATTCTCTGAAAATTCCTCCAAAATTCAGGAATTCCCCCCAAAATCCAAAAATCTTCCCAAAATCCGGAATTCCCCCCCAAAAAATTCCAGAAAATTCCAAATTTCCCCATAAATTCCCCCAAAAAAACCCAAAAATTCCAGAAAATTCCAAATTTCCCCATAAAATCCCCCCCAAAAAAACCCAAAAATTCCAGAAAATTCCAAATTTCCCCCTAAATTCCCCCCAAATTTCAGAATTCCTCCCAAAACCCCCCGAATTATTCCCAAAAATCCCCAAAATTCCCGAATTTTCGGCCCCTCTCACCCTCCTGCAGCTCCGCTCCCTCCTCGGCCTCCTGCGGCTTCTCCTGGCTGGGGGAGGGGCGCAAAATTCGGGACCCCCCAAATTTTGGGGACCCCCCCCTCAAATTTTGGGACCCCTCCCCCCAAATTTTGGGACCTTTTCCCCCTTTTTTTGGGCCCCTCCCCCCAAATTTTGGGGTCCCTTTCCCCTCCCCCCCCCAAATTTGGGGTCCCCTTTTCCCCTCCCCCCCCCAGTTTTGGGGCCCCTCCCCCCCCAAATTTGGGGTCTCCTTTTCCCCTCCCTCTCCCCCTAAATTTGGGGTCCCCCTCCCCCCCCCAAATTTGGGTCTCCCCCCCCAGAGTTGGGGTTCCCCCTCCCCAAATTTGGGGTTACCCCTCCCCTCCCACCCCCCAAATTTGGGTCCACCCCTCTCCCCCCCCTAAAGTTGGGGTTCCCCCTCCCCAAATTTGGGTCCCCACCCCCAAATTTGTGATTCCCCTTCCCCCTCCCTCCCAAATTTGGGTCTCCCCCCCTCCCCCATTAAAGTCGGGGTTCCCCCCCAAATTTTGGGTTCCCCCTCCCCCTCCCCCCCAAATTTGGGTCTCTCCCCCCTCCCCAAATTTAGGGCCCCCCCCACCCCTCCCCCTCCCCAAATTTGGGGTCCCCCCCCCTCATCCCCCCAATTTGGGGTCCTTCTCCTGCCCCTCCCCCCCCAAATTTATGATTCCCCTCCCCCTCCAAATTTGGGTCCCCACCCCCAACATTTGTGATTCCCCCTCCCCCTCCCCCCCAAATTTGGGTTCCCCCCCCCCAAAAGTTGGGGTTTCCCCCCCCAAATTTGGGTCCCACTCTCCCCCCAAATTTGGGGTTCCCCCCCTCCCCAAATTTTGGGTCCCCCCCCTCCCCCCTCCCCAAATTTGGGGTCGTCCCCCCCCCCCAAGTTTGGGTCCCCCTGCCCCTTCCCCCAAATTTGGGTCTCCCCCCCCTCCCCAAATTTGGGTTCCCCCTCCCCTAAAATCGGGGTTCCCCCCCCCCAATTTTGGGTCCCCCCTCCCATCCCCCCCCCAAATTTGGGTCTTGCCCCTCCCCCCTCCCCCCAATTTGGGGTCCCCCCCCTCCCCCCCCCTAAAGTCAGGGTTCCCCCCCCCAAATTTTGGGTCCCCCCTCCCCTTCTCCCCCCCAAATTTGGGGTTCCCCTTTCCCCTGCCCCCCCAAATTTGGGTTCCTCCCCCTAAAGTTGGGGTCCCCCTCCCCAAATTTGGGTGCCCCTCCCCTCCCCAAAGTTGGGGTCCCCCCCCTCCCCAAATTTGGGGTCCCCTCCCCCCCCCCCCCAAATTTGGGGTCCCCCCCCTCCCCCCCCCTCACCTGGGCGCAGCGGAGGCGGCGGCCGAGTCCAGCCCGGGGTCCAACATGTCCATGGAGGGGGAGGGGCGATGTCGCGATGGGGGGGGGGGATGTCGCGATAGTGGGGGAGGGGAACCCCCCCTGGAGAAGGGGGTGGGGGAGGGGCGGGAGCGCCGCTAAAAATTTAAAACAACCCCAAAAAAACCCAAAAAAAAAAAAATTTAAAAATTAAAAAAAAATAATTGGGGTTCGGGGATGGGGGGAGGGGAAGGGGGTGGGGGAGGGGGGAGGGTGGGGGAGGGGAGGGGGTTAAAAATTATAAATTTTTTTTTCTTTTTTTTTTTTTTTTTGGGCCGGTCACGGGGCCAAACAGCGGCGTCACGTGCGGCCTCCCCTCCCCCCCCTCCCCCCTCCGTCCTTCCTCTTCCTCCTCCTCCTCCTCCTCACGGGGGGGAGGGGAGAACCTCCCCCCCCCTCCCCTCCCCCCCCCCCCCCCCCTCTTTTTCCCCTCCCCCTCCCCCTTTCCGGCTTTTTTTGGGGGTTTTTTTGGGGATTTTTTGGGGGGTTTTTTGGGGGATTTTTTTTTCCCCTCCCCCCCCTCCCCCCCCTTCCCCCCCCCCGATCTGTCGCGACTTCCCGCGGGGGCTCCGCGCGGCAAATCGCGACAGCGAAGCGGCGACAGCGACAGCGGAGCGGGGCGGCGGCGCGGGGGGAGGGGCGGGAGGGGAGCGGGGGGAGGGGCGGGAGGGGGAGGGGCGCGGGAAGCGGAAGGGGGAGGGGCCGGAAGGAGGAAGGGGGGAGGGGGAGGGGGGAATTCCGGGGGGGGTTTAAGGGGGAAATTCGGGATTTTGGGGAGGGTTTGGGGGTTTGGGGGGATTTGGGGGATTTTGGGGGGGATTTTGCGGATTTTAGGGGGGTTTTGGGGGGAAATTCAGGATTTTGGGGGAATTTTGGGGGGAAATTCAGGATTTTGGGGTTTTGGGGAGGGTTTGGGATTCTGGCGGAAATTTGGGGGTTTGGGGGAATTTTGGGGATTTTGGGGGGATTTTGGGGATTTTCGAGGAGTTTTGGGGGGAAATTCGGGATTTTGGGGGAGGGTTTGGGGGTTTGGAGGGGATTTTGGGGGAGTTTTGGGGGGAAATTCAGGATTTTGGGGTTTTGGGGGGGGGGTTTGGGGTTTTGGTGGAAATTTGGGGATTTGGGGGAGCTTTTGGAGGGAAATTCGGGATTTTGGGGGAATTTTGGGGGGAAATTCGGGGATTTTGGGGGAATTTTGGGAATTTGGGGGACGTTTTGGGGTTTTGGGGGAGGGTTTGGGGGTTTGGGGGGAATTTCGGGGATTTGGGGGCGTTTTGGGGAGAATTCAGGATTTTGGGGGAATTTTGGGGATTTTGGGGGAATTTTGGGGGTTTGGCAGAAATTTTGGGGATTTTAGGGGAATTTTTGGGGGTAAATTCGGGGTTTTGGGGGACTTTTGAGGATTTTCGGGGAATTTTTGGGGTTTTGGTGGAAATATTGAGGATTTTGGGGGAGGTTTGGGGGGGAATTTTGGGGGGAATTTTGTGGGAGTTTTGGGGGGAAATTCAGGATTTTGGGGGAGGGTTTGGGGGTTTAGGGAGAATTTTGGGGATTCTGGGGAAGTGTTTGGAGGGAAATTCGGTATTTTGGGGGAGTTTTTGGGGTTTTGGGGGGAATTATGGGGATTTTGGGGGAGTTTTTGGGGGGAAATTTTGTGGATTTGGGGGGAATTCATGGGATTTTCGGGTGGGTTTGAGGGGTTTGGCAGGAAATTTTGGGGGGAATTTTGAGGATTTTGGGGAAGTTTTGGAGGGGAATTCGGGATTTTGGGGGAGTTTTTGGGGGGTACATTTGGGGATTTGAGGGAGATCTTGGGGAGATATTTGGGATTTTGGGGGGATTTTTGAGGATTTTGGGGGTTTGGGGGATTTTGGGAGGGGTTTGGGGTTTTGGAAGAAATTTTGGGGATTTTAGGGGAGTTTTGGGGGGTAAATTCAGGATTTTGGGGGAGCTTTGGAGGGAAATTCGGGATTTTGGGGGGATTTTGGGGGGTTTTGCGGTCTTGGCGGAAATTTTGGGGATTTTAGGGGAGTTTTTGGGGTTTTGGTGGAAATATTGAGGATTTTGGGGGAGGTTTTGGGGTTTTGGGGGGAATTTTGGGGGAGTTTTGGGGGGAAATTCAGGATTTTGGGGGAGCTTTGGGGTTTTGGCAGAAATTTTGGAGATTTTGGGGCAGTTTTGGAGGGAAATTCGGGATTTTGGGGGACATTTTGGGGTTTTGGGGGGAATTTTGGGGTTTTGGGGTAATTTTGAGGATTTTCGTGGAGTTTTTGGGGTTTTGGTGGATTTTTTGGGGATTTTAGGGGAGTTTTTGGGGGGAAATTCAGGATTTTGGGGGAATTTTGGGGGTTTGGCGGGAAATTATGGGGATTTTGGGGGAAAATTCGGGGATTTCAGGGAGATTTTGGGAAGAAATTTGGGATTTTGGAAGGATTTGGGGGGGGTTTTGAGGATTTTGGGGAGGTTTTGGGGGGAAGTTTGGAGGCCATTCGGGGGGAAAATTGGGGATTTTGGGGGAGCTTTGGAGGGAAATTCGTGATTTTGGGGGAAATTTTAGGGATTTTGGGGGGAAACTTTGGGGATTTGGAGGGAATTGAGGGGATTTTTGGGTGGGTTTGGGGGGAAATTCGGGGTTTTGGGGGGGTTTGGCAGGAAAATTGGGGGGTTTGGGGGAAATTTTGGAATTTTGGGGGGAAATTTGAGGATTGGGAAGTGAAATTCATGAATTTTGGGGGGTGTGGGGAAAAATTCTGGGGAAATTTGAGGATTTTGGGGGGAATTTGGGGATTGGGGGAGTCGGGAATTGGGGGAAATTGTGGAAAAAGTGGAAAAAAACGTGAAAAAATCAACGAGAAATGGGAAAAATCAGGAAAAAAACCCCCAGGAATTCCCCAAAAATCCACCAAAATCACAATAATCCCAAATAATTCCTAATAAATTCCAAATATATCCCAATAAATTGCAATTAATCCCCAATAAATCGCAATAAACCCCAATAAATTCCCAATAGATCCCAATAATCCCAAATAATTCCTAATAAATCCCAATAATTCCCAATCAGTCCCAAAATTCCCCCAAAATGTCCCCAAAATTTCCAACAAATCCAAAAATTTCCCCAAAATTACCCCATTAATTCCCTAAATTTCCCCGAAATTCCCAATAAATCCCCAAAATTCCCCAATTTTTCCCAAAGTTTCCCCCAAATTCCCTAAATTTCCCCATAAATCCCAATAAATCCCCAAATTCCCCCGAAATTCCCAAAATTCCGATTCCAGGAGCCCCTTCGGGAATTTCTGGTTTTATTTGGGGGTCAAAGGTCACGGGGGGGGAGGGGCGGCGCTCGTTAATTAATGAGGGGCAATAAATAATTAACGGGGAGGGGGCGGGGCCTCCCTGAGGGCCGCGTGGGCGTGGCTGAGGTGAGGTGGGCGTGGCCAATGAGGAAAGGGGTGTGGTCACCAGGTGGGCGTGGCCAAAACCAGAATAATGAGGGTGGGAAATGGGCGTGGCCAAGTGATGGGTGTGGTCAGGTGGGTGTGGTCAGTGTGGTCAGGTGAGGGCGTCGTCACATTAAAGGTGGGCGTGGCCAGAAGATGGGCGTGGCCATCATAAGAATAATCAGGTGGGCGTGGCCATTGGGGGCGTGGCCCAGGGTTGGGCGGGGTCACTTTATGCAGATTTTGGGGTGTCTGGATGAAGTGGGCGTGGCCCAGGTGAGGTGGGTGTGTCCAGGTGGGCGTGTCCAGCTGTGGTGGGCATGACCAGGTGTGGTGGGCGTGTCCAGGTGTGGCGGGTGTGTCCAGGTGTGGTGGGTGTGTCCAGGTGTGGCGGGTGCGTCCAGGTGTGGTGGGTGTGTCCAGGTGCGGTGGGTGTGTCCAGGTGTGGGCGTGTCCAGGTGTGGTGGGCGTGTCCAGGTGCAGTAGGCGTGTCCAGGTGGGCGTGTCCAGGTGTGACAGGCGTGTCCAGGTGCGGTGGGCGTGTCCAGGCTCACAATGGGCGTGTCCAGCTGGGCATGTCCAGGTGTGGTGGGCGTGTCCAGCTGAGCGTGTCCAGCTGTGGTGGGCGTGTCCAGGTGTGGTGGGCGTGTCCAGGTGTGGTGGGCGTGCCCAGGTGGGCGTGGTCACTTGACGCGGATCTCGGCGTACTCCGGGGGTTCCTCGGGGGGTCCCCGGGCGGGTTTGGGGGGGGGGAGGGGCGGCCTCGGGTGGGGCCGCCGACCCCTCCCCCACCCCCAGCGCCCACCGCCCCACGGCCCCGCGCAGCCAACGCACCTGCGGGGGGGCGGGGCCACACCTGAGCACACCTGGGCACCCCAAAACACCCCCGGGAAACCCCAAATTCCCTCCCCGTGTCCCAAAATATCCCAAAATATCCCCAAAATTCCACCTGGTACCCCCCAAAATTCCCCCCTTGGCCCCTCCCCCTCCTTGGCTCCGCCCCCTTTACCTGCAGTGGGCGTGGCTCCGGGTCCCGCCCCCCCGCCGGGGTCACCGGGGTCACCTCGGGGCTTCCCGACGCCTTCCTGCAGGGGCGGGGCGGGGGCGTGGCCTCAGAGCTTTGGCCACGCCCCTGCTCCGCCCCCAACCCCTGCCTCAGTTTCCCCGCCCAGTGGGCGTGGCCTGATGGGCTATAACCCACAGTGGGCGGGGCCTATTGGGATATAACCCACAGTGGGCGGGGCCTATTGGGATATAACCCACAGTGGGCGTGGCCTATTGGGATATAACCCACAGTGGGCGTGGGCTAATGGGTATAACCCACAGTGGGCGTGGCCTAATGGCATATAACCCACAGTGGGCGTGGCCTGTTGGGATATAACCCACAGTGGGCGTGGCCTATGGGGATATAACCCACAGTGGGCGTGGCCTATTGGGATATAACCCACAGTGGGCGTGGCCTATGGGGATATAACCCACAGTGGGCGTGGCCTATTGGGATATAACCCACAGTGGGCGTGGCCTATGGGGATATAACCCACAGTGGGCGTGGCCTATTGGGATATAACCCACAGTGGGCGTGGCCTATTGGATATAACCCACAGTGGGCGTGGCCTGATGGGATATAACCCACAGTGGGCGTGGCCTGACGGGATCTAACCCACAGTGGGCGTGGCCTATTGGATATAACCCACAGTGGGCGTGGCCTATTGGGATATACCCACAGTGGGCGTGGCCTGATGGGATATAACCCACAGTGGGCGTGGCCTGACGGGATATAACCCACAGTGGGCGTGGCCTATTGGGATATAACCCACAGTGGGCGTGGCCTGTTGGGATATAACCCACTGTGGGCGTGGCCTGACGGGATATAACCCACAGTGGGCGTGGCCTGACGGGATATAACCCACAGTGGGCGTGGCCTGACGGGATATAACCCACAGGGGGCGTGGCCTATTGGGATATAACCCACAGTGGGCGTGGCCTATTGGGATATAACCCACAGTGGGTGTGGCCTAATTGGATATAACCCACGGTGGGCGTGGCCTAATGGGATATAACCCACAGTGGGCGTGGCCTATTGGGCTATAACCCACAGTGGGCGTGGCTAATGGGATATAACCCACAGTGGGCGTGGCCTATTGGGATATAACCCACAGTGGGTGTGGCCTATTGGGATATAACCCACAGTGGGCGTGGCTAATGGGATATAACCCACAGTGGGCGTGGCCTATTGGGATATAACCCACAGTGGGCGTGGCCTCCCCCCTTTCCCCGCCCCTCCCCCCGTCCCCAGGTGGGCGTGGCCCCCCGGTGGGCGTGGCCGGCGGGGGGCGGGGCTCACTTGCGGCGGCTCTGGCTCAGGTAACAGACGAGGGCGATGACGACGGCGAAGGCGACGACGGCGCCCACGGGGCCCACCTTGGCCCACACCAGCCCCGCTGCAGGTGAGACAGGTGAGACAGGTGAGAGGTGAGATATGGACAGGTGAGACACATGAGGGACAGGTGAGATACAGGTGAGAGACAGGTGAGATATGGACAGGTGAGACAGGTGAGACACAGGTGAGACACAGGGGAGACAGGTGAGACAGGTGAGATACAGGTGAGACACAGGTGAGACACAGGTGAGAGGCAGGTGAGATACAGGTGAGAGACAGGTGAGACAGGACAGGTGAGATGAGATAAGTTGGATGGGCGTGCCCAGGTGTGTTCCTATCCCTCTCAGGTGTGCTCAGGTGTGCCCAGGTGTGCCCAGGTGTGCTCAGGTGTGCCCAGGTGTGCTCAGATGTGCCCAGGTGTGTTCCAGTCTCTCTCAGGTGTGCCCAGGTGTGCTCAGGTGTGCCCAGGTGTGTTCCAGTCTCTCTCAGGTGTGCTCAGGTGTGCCCAGGTGTGCTCCTATCTCTCTCAGCTGCCCCCAGCTGTGCCCAGGTGTGCCCAGGTGTGTGCCCAGGTGTGTTCCTATCCCTCTCAGGTGTGCCCAGGTGTGCTCAGGTGTGCCCAGGTGTGTTCCTATCTCTCTCAGGTGTGCTCAGGTGTGCCCAGGTGTGCTCCTATCTCTCTCAGGTGTGCCCAGGTGTGCCCAGGTGTGTTCCTATCTCTCTCAGGTGTGCCCAGGTGTGTGCCCCACCCGGATGATGAAACCGCAGCTGCATCCTGGCGGCGCCGTGGCCGTTGCGGGCGGCGCAGAGCACGGCCAGCCGCGGCTCCAGGCCCCCAGGTGTGCCCAGGTGTGCCCAGGTGTGCCCAGGTGTGTTCCTGTCCCTCTCAGCTGCCCCCAGGTGTGCCCAGGTGTGTTCCTATCTCTCTCAGGTGTGCTCAGGTGTGCCCAGGTGTGTTCCTATCTCTCTCAGGTGTACCCAGGTGCCCCCAGGTATGCCCAGGTGTGTTCCTATCTCCCTCAGGTGTGCTCAGGTGTGTGCCCAGGTGTGCCCAGGTGCCCCCAGGTGTGCCCAGGTGTGCCTCACCTGGATGATGAAACCGCAGCTGCATCCTGGCGGCGCCGTGGCCGTTGCGGGCGGCGCAGAGCACGGCCAGCCGCGGCTCCAGGCCCCCAGGTGTGCTCAGGTGTGCTCAGGTGTGCCCAGGTGTGTTCCTATCCCTCTCAGGTGGTCTCAGGTGTGCCCAGGTGTGCCCAGGTGTGTTCCTATCTCTCTCAGGTGTGCTCAGGTCTACGCAGGTGTGTTCCTATCCCTCTCAGGTGTACCCAGGTGTGCTCAGGTGTGCCCAGGTGTGTTCCTATCTCTCTCAGGTGTGCCCAGGTGTGTGCCCAGGTGTGCCCAGGTGTGCTCCTATCCCTCTCAGGTGGTCTCAGGTGTGCTCAGGTGTGCCCAGGTGTGTCCCTATCTCCCCCAGGTGCCCCCAGGTGTGTGCCCAGGTGTGCCCAGGTGTGCCTCACCCGGATGATGAAACCGCAGCTGCATCCTGGCGGCGCCGTGGCCGTTGCGGGCGGCGCAGAGCACGGCCAGCCGCGGCTCCAGGCCCCCAGGTGTGCCCAGGTGTGTGCCAAGGTGTGCCCAGCTGTGTTCCTATCTCTCTCAGGTGTGCTCAGGTCTACCCAGGTGTGTTCCTATCTCTCTCAGGTGTGCCCAGGTGTGCCCAAATCCCCAATTTTCACCATTTCTCCCCGTTTTCTTGCCCCCAGGTGTATCCATATGTGCTCAGGTGTGTTCCTATCTCTCTCAGGTGTGCCCAGGTGTGCCCAGGTGTGTTCCTATGTCTCTCAGGTGTGCCCAGGTGTGCCCAGGTGTGTGCCCAGGTGTGTTCCTATCTCTCTCAGGTGTGCCCAGGTGTGCCTCACCCGGATGATGAAACCGCAGCTGCATCCTGGCGGCGCCGTGGCCGTTGCGGGCGGCGCAGAGCACGGCCAGCCGCGGCTCCAGGCCCCCGCGCAGCGTCAGCGCCGCCCGCACGGCGCCAGGTGAGCTCCAGGTGAGCGCGAAGTCCCGGTGACCCTCGGCCACGGTGACGTTCAGCCAGGGCAGCTCGAAGGCCACGGAAGGTGCCGGAACGGCCGCGGCGGCGCAGACGCACCTGGCCAGCCCCTCCCCCGCGGGGGCGCAGCGCGACTCCGGCAGCAGCACCGGGGGGTCTGCGGGAGGGGAGGGGGTCACACCCAAAATCGACTTTTTTTTCCCCAAAAAAAAAATCCCGTTTTTCCCCCCAAAAATAGCATTTTTCCCAAGAAAATCCTGTTTTTCCCCAAGAAAATCCCATTTTCCCCCCCCAAAAATAACATTTTTTTACAGAACTACCATTTTTTCCCAAGAAAATCCCATTTTTCCCCAAAAAATCCCATTTTCCCTGCATAAATCCCATTTTCCCCCAAGAAAATCCCATTTTTCCGTAGAAAATCCCGTTTTTCCCAAGAAAATCCCGTTTTCCCCCAAGAAAATCCCATTTCCCCCCCAGAAAATAACATTTTTTTACAAAATATCCCTTTTTCCCATGAAAATCCCATTTTTCCCCAAGAAAATCCCATTTTTCCCTAGAAAATCCCATTTTCCCCCAAGAAAATCCCATTTTCCCCGCAAATATCCCATTTTTCCCAAGAAAATCCCATTTTCCCCCAAGAAAATCCCATTTTTCCCAAGAAAATCCCATTTTTCACAAGAAAATCCCATTTTTCCGCAAGAAAGTCCCATTTCCCCCCCAAAAAACCCATTTTTTTAGAGAAATACCATTTTTCCCAAGAAAATCCCATTTTTCCCTAAAAAATCCCATTTTCCCTGCAAAAATTCCGTTTTCCCCCAAGAAAATCCAATTTTCTCCCCAAAATCCCATTTTCCCCCCAAAAATCCCCTTTTCCCCAAAGAAAATCCCATTTCCCCCAAGAAAATCCCATTTCCCCCTCAAAAATAACATTTTTTTACAAAATACCCAATTTTTTCCCAAGAAAATCCCATTTTTCCCCAAAAACTACTGTTTTCCCTGCAAAAATCCCGTTTTCCCCCAAGAAAATCCCATTTTCCCCCGAAAAAATGACATTTTTTTACAAAAACACCCTTTTCCCCCCAAGAAAATCCCATTTCCCCCTGCAAAAATAACATTTTTTTACAAAATACCCAATTTTTTCCCAAGAAAATCCCATTTTCCCCCAAAAAATACTGTTTTCCCTGCAAAAATCCCGTTTTCCCCAAAGAAAATCCCATTTCCCCCTACAAAAATGTCATTTTTTTATAAAATACCCAATTTTTTCCCAAGAAAATCCCATTTTTCCCAAAATCCCGTTTTTTCGCCCCAGTCTCACACTCCACGGTGAGGTTGAAGGCCAGGCTGCTGTGCCCGTGCTGCCTCTCCCAAAACCCCATTTTTACCCCACTTTTTCCCATTTTTACCCCATTTTTTCCCCATTTTTACCCAAATTTCCCCCGTTTTTTCACAATTCCCATTTTTCCCATTTCCCATTTTTCCCAAAATCCCGTTTTTTCCCCCCAATCTCACACTCCACGGTGAGGTTGAAGGCCAGGCTGCTGTGCCCGTGCTGCCTCTCCCAAAACCCCATTTTCCCCCCATTTTTCCCATTTTTCCCCATTTTTCCCCTATTTTCCCATTTCCCATTTTTCCCCAATTCCCATTTTTCCCAAAATCCCGGTTTTTCCCCCCAATCTCACACTCCACGGTGAGGTTGAAGGCCAGGCTGCTGTGCCCGTGCTGGTTCTCCCAAACCCCCATTTTCCCCCCATTTTTACCCCATTTTTACCCCATTTTTACCCCATTTTTCGCCATTTCTGTTTTCCCATTTTTCCCAAATTTTCCCCATTTTTCCCAAATTTCCATTTTTCCCAAAATCCCGTTTTTTCCCCCCAGTCTCACACTCCACGGTGAGGTTGAAGGCCAGGCTGCTGTGCCCGTGCTGCCTCTCCCAAAACCCCATTTTTACCCCATTTTTACCCCATTTCCCCCCCATTTTTCCCAATTTCGCCCCATTTTTTCCCAATTCCCGTTTTCCCCCAACTCCCATTTTTCCCCATTCCCGTTTTTCCGAATATCCCGTTTTTACCCAAATGTCACCCATTTTCCCCCCATTTTTTCCCCATTTTCCCCCATTTCCCCCATTTCCCCCCAATTTCTGTTTTCCCCATTTCCCATTTTTCCCAAAATCCCATTTTTACCCAAATTTCCTGCATTTTCCCCCAATTCCTGTTTTCCCCATTTCCCATTTTCCCAAAATCCCATTTTTACCCAAATTTCACCCATTTTTTCCCAGTTTCTGTTTCCCCCATTTCCCATTTTCCCCCAATTCCCGTTTTTCCCAAAATCCCATTTTTACCCAAATTTCCCCCGTTTTTTCACAATTTCAATTTTTCCCATTTTTCCCAAATTCCCATTTTTCCCAAAATCCCGTTTTTTCCCCCCAATCTCACACTCCACGGTGAGGTTGAAGGCCAGGCTGCTGTGCCCGTGCTGCCTCTCCCCAAACCCCATTTTCACCCCATTTTTTCCCATTTTTACCCAAATTTGCCCCGTTTTTTCACAATTTCAATTTTCCCATTTTTCCCATTTCCTGTTTTTCCCAAAATCCCGTTTTTTCGCCCCAGTCTCACACTCCACGGTGAGGTTGAAGGCCAGGCTGCTGTGCCCGTGCTGGTTCTCCCAAAACCCCATTTTTACCCCATTTTTACCCCATTTTTCCCCAATTTCTGTTTCCCCCAATTCCCATTTTTTTCCCAAATTCCCATTTTTCCCAAAATCCCGTTTTTTCCCCCCAATCTCACACTCCACGGTGAGGTTGAAGGCCAGGCTGCTGTGCCCGTGCTGCCTCTCCCAAACCCCCATTTTCCCCCCATTTTTCCCATTTTTCCCCCATTTTTTCCCCATTTTTACCCAAATTTCCCCCATTTTTTCCCAAATTTCCAATTTTCCCAAAATCCCGTTTTTTCGCCCCAATCTCACACTCCACGGTGAGGTTGAAGGCCAGGCTGCTGTGCCCGTGCTGCCTCTCCCAAAACCCCATTTTTACCCCATTTTTCGCAATTCCCATTTTCCCCATTCCCATTTTTCCCAAATTCCCATTTTCCCCAAATTCCCATTTTTCCCAAACTCCCGTTTTTTCGCCCCAATCTCACACTCCACGGTGAGGTTGAAGGCCAGGCTGCTGTGCCCGTGCTGGTTCTCGGCCCGGCACAGGTACTCTCCCGCGTCCTCAGGTGCGGCGGCCGCCAGCTCCAGCCTCACCTGCGGCTCGTACACGGCCGTGGCCACCGGGCGGCGCCCGCGGGTCACGGTCAGGATGGGCGCGGGGTGGCTGAGGGCGGCACAGGTGAGGCGCACCTGCTCACCTGCCAGCACCCACAGCGAGCCGTTCAACACCGGCGGGCGTGGGGCGTCTGCGGGACAGGTGAGATACAGGTGGGACAGGTGAGACACATGAGACAGGTGAGATACAGGTGACACAGGTATTGGACAGGTGAGGTACAGGTGAGACAGGTGAGATGCAGGTGAGGCGCACCTGCTCACCTGCCAGCACCCACAGAGAGCCGTTCAGCACCGGGGGGCGTGGGGCGTCTGCGGGACAGGTAAAACAGGTATTGGACAGGTGGGATACAGGTGAGATGCAGGTGAGGCGCACCTGCTCACCTGCCAGCACCCACAGCGAGCCGTTCAGCACTGGGGGGCGTGGGGCGTCTGTGGGACAGGTGAGATACAGGTGGGACAGGTGGGGTATGGACAGGTGAGATGCAGGTGAGGCGCACCTGCTCACCTGCCAGCACCCACAGAGAGCCGTTCACAACAGGGGGGCGCGGCGCGTCTGCGGGACAGGTGAGAGACAGGTGAGACAGGTGAGACAGGTGAGGTACAGACAGGTGAGGTACAGGTGGGACAGGTGGGGTATGGACAGGTGAGATGCAGGTGAGGCGCACCTGCTCACCTGCCAGCACCCACAGAGAGCCGTTCAACACCGGGGGGCGCGGGGCATCTGTGGGACAGGTGAGATATGGACAGGTGAGATGCAGGTGAGATACAGGTGAGATATGGACAGGTGAGACAGGTGAGATGCAGGTGAGGCGCACCTGCTCACCTGCCAGCACCCACAGAGAGCCGTTCACAACAGGGGGGCGTGGGGCATCTGTGGGACAGGTGAGATACAGGTGGGACAGATGGAACAGGTGAGATACAGGTGGGACAGATGGAACAGGTGAGATACAGGTGAGGTACAGGTGAGGTACAGGTGAGGTACAGGTGAGACAGATGAGGTATGGACAGGTGGGACAGGTGAGGTATGGACAGGTGAGATATGGACAGGTGAGATACAGGTGGGACAGGTGAGATATGGACAGGTGAGATGCAGGTGAGGCGCACCTGCTCACCTGCCAGCACCCACAGAGAGCCGTTCACCACCGGCGGGCGTGGGGCATCTGTGGGACAGGTGAGATATGGACAGGTGGGACAGGTGAGGTACAGGTGGGACAGGTGAGATATGGACAGGTGAGGTATGGACAGGTGAGATGCAGGTGAGGCGCACCTGCTCACCTGCCAGCACCCACAGAGAGCCGTTCACAACAGGGGGGCGTGGGGCGTCTGTGGGACAGGTGAGATATGGACAGGTGGAACAGGTGAGGTATGGACAGGTGAGATGCAGGTATTGGACAGGTGAGACAGGTGAGATGCAGGTGGGACAGATGGAACAGGTGAGACAGGTGAGGTACAGGTGAGACAGGTGAGACAGGTGAGGTATGGACAGGTGAGGGACAGGTGAGACAGGTGAGATGCAGGTGAGGTACAGGTGAGACAGGTGAGATGCAGGTGAGGCGCACCTGCTCACCTGCCAGCACCCACAGAGAGCCGTTCAGCACCGGGGGGCGTGGGGCGTCTGTGGGACAGGTAAAACAGGTATTGGACAGGTGGGATACAGGTGGGACAGGTGAGATATGGACAGGTGAGGTATGGACAGGTGAGACAGGTGAGATGCAGGTGAGGCGCACCTGCTCACCTGCCAGCACCCACAGCGAGCCGTTCAACACAGGGGGGCATGGGGCATCTGCGGGACAGGTGACATACAGGTGGGGTATGGACAGGTGGGACAGGTGAGATACAGGTGAGGTACAGGTGAGATATGGACAGGTGGGACAGGTGAGATACAGGTGAGGCGCACCTGCTCACCTGCCAGCACCCACAGAGAGCCGTTCAGCACCGGCGGGCGTGGGGCGTCTGTGGGACAGGTGAGATACAGGTGGGACAGGTGAGACAGGTGGGACAGGTGAGGTATGGACAGGTGAGATACAGGTGGGACAGGTGGGGTATGGACAGGTGAGATGCAGGTGAGGCGCACCTGCTCACCTGCCAGCACCCACAGAGAGCCGTTCACAACAGGGGGGCGCGGCGCGTCTGTGGGACAGGTAAAACAGGTATTGGACAGGTGAGGTACAGGTGGGACAGGTGAGACAGGTGAGGTATGGACAGGTGGGACAGGTGAGACAGGTGAGATACAGACAGGTGAGATACAGGTGAGACAGGAGATACAGGTGAGACAGGTGAGGTATGGACAGGTGAGACAGGTGAGACAGGTGAGATATGGACAGGTGGGACAGGTGAGACAGGTGAGGTACAGACAGGTGAGATACAGGTGAGACAGGTGGGGTATGGACAGGTGAGATGCAGGTGAGGCGCACCTGCTCACCTGCCAGCACCCACAGCGAGCCGTTCACAACAGGGGGGCGTGGGGCGTCTGTGGGACAGGTGAGACAGGTGAGACAGGTGAGACACATGAGACAGGTGAGATACAGGTGACACAGGTATTGGACAGGTGGGATACAGGTGGGACAGGTGAGATGCAGGTGAGGCGCACCTGCTCACCTGCCAGCACCCACAGAGAGCCGTTCAGCACCGGGGGGCGTGGGGCGTCTGTGGGACAGGTGAGATACAGGTGGGACAGGTGTTGGACAGGTGAGGTATGGACAGGTGGGACAGGTGGGACAGGTGAGGTACAGGTGAGACAGGTGGGACAGGTGAGACAGGTGAGATACAGGTGAGATACAGGTGTTGGACAGGTGACACATGAACAGGCGAGATACAGGTGTTGGGACAGGTGACAGCGGTAGAACATGGACAGGTGAGGCAGCTGGGACAGGTGTGCAGAGTGGCCCAGGTGTGTGCCCAGGTGTGCCCAGATGCCCCCAGGTGTGCCCAGGTGTGCCCAGGTGTGCCCAGGTGTATCCCAGGTGTGCCCAGGTGTGCCCAGGTGTGCCCAGGTGTATCCCAGGTGTGCCCCCAGGTGTGCCCAGGTGTGTTTCTATGTGCCCAGGTGTACCCAGGTGCCCCCAGGTGTGCCCAGCTGCCCCCAGGTGTGCCCAGGTGTGTCTCCATGTGCCCAGGTGTGTGCCCAGCTGCCCCCAGGTGCCCCCAGGTGCGCCCAGGTGCGTCACTCACATGCCACCTGCAGCTCCAGGCTCCGGTTGTGGCGGCCGTGCCGGTTCTCGGCCACACAGGTGTAGGTGCCGCTGTCCTCGGGGCTCACCTGGGGCAGGTGCAGCGGCAGCGCCGGCGCCCCCGGCTCCTCCCGCAGCACCTGCGGCCCCCGGAACCAGGTGAGCAGCGGGGCGGGGCGGCCCTCGGCGCTGCAGCCCAGGTGCACCTCCGAACCCTCCAGGGCCTCGGCCGGGCCCGACACCTCCAGCACCTGCGGCTCGTCTGGGGGGGACAGGTGAGTTAGGGACAAAAAATACCTGGACAGGTGTGTTAGGGACCCCAAAACACCCCAAAATACCTGGCCAGGTGTGTTAGGGACCCAAAAATCCAAACATACCTGGCCAGGTGTGTTAGGAACCCCAAAATTCTGCTCAGGTTCCAATTTTTACAATTTCCCCCCATTTTCCCTGTCCCAGAGACCATCAGGTACCCCCAGGTGTGCCCAGGTGCCCCCAGGTATCCCCAAAACCCCCAAATTTCCCCCAATTTCCCCCATTCCCCACCCCTAGGTGCCCTCAGGTGTGCCCAGGTGTGCCCAGGTGTGTTCCTATCTCCCCCAGGTGTGCCCAGGTGTGCCCAAAACCCCCAATTTTCCCCGAATTTCCCTGAATTTTCCCCGAATTTTCCCCAATTTTCCCCATATTTCCCCCATTTCCCACTCCCAGGTGCCCCCAGGTGTGCCCAGGTGTGTTCCTATCCCCCCCAGGTGCCTGCAGGTGCCCCCAGGTGCCCCCAGGTGTGTTTCTATCCCCTCCAGGTGCCCCCAGGTGTGCCCCAAACCCCCAATTTTTCAGAATTTCCCCGAATTTCCCCCATTTCCCATCCCCAGGTGTGCCCAGGTGTGCCCAGGTGCCCCCAGGTGTGCCCAGGTGTGATTCTATCCCCTCCAGGTGTGCCCAAAGCCCCCAATTTTCCCTGAATTTCCCCCAAATTTCCCCCATTTCCCACCCCCAGGTACCCCCAGGTGCCCCCAGGTGTGCCCAGGTGTGTTCCTATCCCCTCCAGGTGCCCCCAGGTGTGCCCAGGTGCCCCCAGGTGTGTTACTATCCCACCCAGGTGCCCCAGGTGTGCCCAAAACCCCCAATTTTCCTGAATTTCCCCAAATTTCCCCCATTTCTCATCCCCAGGTGCCCTCAGGTGTGCCCAGGTGTGCCCCAAACCCCCAAATTTCCCCAAATTTCCCCAATTTTCCCCAAATTTCCCCGAATTTTCCCTGAATTTCCCCCAATTTCCCCCAATTTCCCACATTTCCCACCCCCAGGTGTGCCCAGGTGCCCCCAGGTGCCCCCAGGTGTGCCCCCAGGTGCGCCCAGGTGTGCCCAGGTGTGTTTCTATCCCCTCCAGGTGCCCCCAGGTGCCCCCAGGTGCCCCCAGGTGTGCCCAGGTGTGCCCAAAACCCCAAATTTTCCCCAATTTTCCCCCATTTCCCACCCCCAGGTGCCCGCAGGTGCCCCCAGGTGCCCCCAGGTGTGCCCAGGTGTGTTCCTATTCTCCCCAGGTGTGCCAAGGTGTGCCCCAAACCCCCAATTTTCCCCGAATTTCCCTCAATTTTCCCCATTTCCCGCCCCCAGGTGTACCCAGGTGCCCCCAGGTGTGCCCAGGTGCCCCCAGGTGTGCCCCAAACCCCCAATTTCCCCAAATTTCCCTGAATTTCCCCGAATTTCCCCCATTTCCCACCCCCAGGTGTGCCCAGGTGCCCCCAGGTGTGCCCAGGTGTGCCCAGGTGTGCCCAGGTGCCCCCAGGTGTGCCCCAAACCCCCAATTTCCCATCCCCAGATGCCCCCAGGTGTGCCCAGGTGCCCCCAGGTGTGTTCCTACCCCCTCCAGGTGCCCCCAGGTGTGCCCAAAACCCCCAAATTTCCCCAATTTTCCCTGAATTTTCCCCAAATTTTCCCCAAATTTCCCCCATTCCGCATCCCCAGGTGCCCCCAGGTGCCCCCAGGTGCCCGCAGGTGCCCCCAGGTGTGCCCGCAGGTGCCCCCGGGTGCTCACACTGCACGTCCAGCGCCACGCCGGCGCTGAAGGCCAGGCTGGAGTTGGGCAGGGTCACCTGGCAGCCCAACCTGCGGCCGCCGTCCTGCCGCCGGGGCCGGAACCGCAGCCGCGCCACCACCGCGCCCGCGCCCGCCGCGTCCTCGCGCCACTCGCGCTCGGAAACTTCCGGAAGCTCCTGGGCGCCCTCCCAGCGCAGCCGCGGCCGCTGCCGCGGGCACGAGTCCGGCACGCGGCACCGCAGCTCGGCCGGAGCGCCCGCCACGACCTCGGGGGGCACCTCCAGCACCGGCTCCTCTGCAAAATAGCAAAAATACCGATTACCGCCCAAAAATCCCAATTATCGCCCAAAAATCCTCATTCTGACCCAAAAAACCCGATTCTGGCCACGACTTCGGGGGGTACCTCCAGCACCGGCTCCTCTGTGGAATGGGGAAAATATCCTGATTAATGCCCAAAAAAATCCAAATTCTGACCCAAAAATCCAAATTCTGACCCAAAAATCCCAATTACCACCCAAAAATCCCCATTCTGGACTCATTTAGCCCAAAAAATGGGGTCTGAATGTCTCAAAAATCCCAATTCCAGCCCAAAATCCCTCTCTGGCCACGACTTCGGGGGGCACCTCCAGCACCGGCTCCTCTGCGGAATAGCAAAAATACCGATTACTGCCTAAAAATCCCAATTACCACCCAAAAATCCCAATTACCGCCCAAAAATCCCAATTCTGGACTCATTTAGCCCAAAAAATGGGGTCCAGAGACCCCAAAATCCCTCTCTGGCCACGACTTCGGGGGGTACCTCCAGCACCGGCTCCTCTGAGGAATGGGGAAAATATCCTGATTAATGTCCAAAAATCCCAATTACCACCCAAAAATGCTCATTACCGCCCAAAAATCCCCATTCCGAACCAAAAATCCCCATTCTGGACTCATTTAGCCCAAAAATGGGGTCTGAGTGTCCCAAAAATGAATATTCCCAAAATCCCTCTCTGGCCACGACTTCAGGGGGCACCTCCAGCACCGGCTCCTCTGCGGAATAGCAAAAATACTGATTACCACCCAAAAATCCCAATTACCGCCCAAAAATCCCAATTCTGGACTCATTTAGCCCAAAAAATGGGGTCTGAAATGTCTCGAAATCCCAATTCCGGCCCAAAAATGGGGTCCAGAGACCCCAAAAATCCTCTCTGGCCACCAGGTCTGGGGGTACCTCCAGCACCGGCTCCTCTGTGGAATGGTGAAAATATCGCGATTAACACCCAAAAATGCCAATTACTGCCCAAAAACGGGGTCCAGAGACCCAAAAATCCCAATTCCAGCCCAAAAATGGGGTCTGGAGACCCAAAAATCCCAATTCCAGCCCAAAAATCCCGATTCTGGACTCATTTAGCCCAAAAAATGGGGCCTGAATGTCCCAAAAATTCCAATTCTGGCCTCATTTAGCCCAAAAAATGGGGTCCAGAGACCCAAAAAATCCCAATTACTGCCCAAAAATCCCAATTACAGCCCAAAAATCCCAATTCCGGCCCAAAAATCCCAATTCCGGCCCAAAAATGAAATCCAGAAACCCAAAAATCCCAATTCCGGGCTCATTTAGCCCATAAAATGGGGTCTGAATGTCTCAAAATCCCAATTCCAGACCAAAATATGGGGTCCAGAGACCCAAAAATCCCAATTCCGCCCCAAAAATGGGGTCTGAATGTCTCAAAATCCCAATTACTGCCCAAAAATCCCAATTCCAGCCCAAAAATGGGGTCTGAATGTCTCAAAAATCCCAATTCCAGCCCAAAAACTGGGTCCAAATAACCCAAAAATTGAGTTCCTGATATCCCGAAAATCCCTGTGCTTTATCCCCAAAAATGGGGTCCAAATATCCCAAAAATCCCCAAAAACTCACTCTGAGCATCCTGAAAACCATAAAATTCTCCAAAAAATTCCATAAATTTCTCAGAAAAAATCACTCGAAAACCTGTGAAAATCCACCAAATTTGCCAAGAATCCTCCTACAAAGTGACTCGAAACGCGCTGAAAATGGGCAAAATTCTCCAAAAAATCGCCAAAAAATGGCCAAGAAATCCTAAAATTTCTGCAAGTACTCATTCCAAACCTCCTGAAAACTCACAAAATTCTCTAAAAATCCCCAAAATTTCTTTTAAAAATCACTCCAAACCTCCTGAAAATCCACCACATTATGGAAAAATCCTCCTAGAATGCGAGTCCAAACATGCTGAAAATGGGCAAAATTCTCCAAAAAATCGCCAAAAAATGCCAAATTTTCTGCAAGTACTCATTCCAAACCTCCTGAAAACTCACAAATTTCCAAAAAACCCCAAAATTTCTTCAAATACTCATTGGAAACCTCCTGAAAATCCACCAAATTCTCCAAGAATCGTCCTACAAAGTGACTCGAGACGTGCTGAAAATGGGCAAAATTCTCCAAAAAATCCCCAAAAAACCGCCAAAAAATCCCAGAATTTCTCCAAATACTCACTCCAAACCTCCTGAAAACCCACAAAACTCTCCAAAAATTCCCAAAATTTCGCCAAAAAGTCCGTCCAAACTGCCTGGAAATCCACCAAATTCTCCAAGAATCCTCTGACAAAGCGACTCGAAACGTGCTGAAAATGGGCAAAATTCTCAAAAAAATCGCCAAAAAATCGCCAAAAAATCGCCAAAAAATGCCAAAATTTCTGCAAGTACTCATTCCAAACCTCCTGAACATCCACGAAACTCTCAAAAAAATCCCAAAAAATCCCAATATTTCACAAAAAAATCCCAAAAACTGCCTCAAAACCCCTCCAAAATCCCCCAAAAAATAGGAATTTTCCCAAAAAACCCAATTTTTGTCCCAAAAACAACTCACCGAGCACCTGGAGCACGGCGTGCTCGCTGAAGCTGTACTGGTTGTAGCCTCCCAGGTCTGCCCTGAAGTAGTACCTCCCGGCGAGCTCGGCGCTGAGCGGCGGCCCGAGCTCCAGCGAGCAGTCCCGCAGCGCCGGGTCCCCAAAAACACCCAAAAACAGCCAAAAATCCCCCAAAAATCCCCAAAACCCATTCTGAGCATCCTGAAACCCACAAAATCCTCCAAAAAATTCCATACATTTCTCAGGAAAATCACTCGAAACCCTGTGAAAATCCACCAAATTCGCCAAGAATCCTCCTACAAAGTGACTCCAAACATGCTGGAAATGGGCAAAATGCCCCAAAAGATCCCCAAAAAAATGCCAAAAAATCCCGAAATTTCTTGAAATACTCATTCCAAACCTCCTGAAAATCCACCAAATTATCCAAAAAATCCCAAAATTTCTCCAAATACTCATTGCAATCCTCCTGAAAATCCACCAAATTCTCCAAGAGATCCTCCTACAAAGTGACTCGAAACGTGCTGAAAATCGACAAAATCGCCAAAAAATCCCCAAAAAACCGCCAAAAAATCCCAAAATTTCTGCAAATACTCACTCCGAACCTCCTGAAAACTCACAAAATTCTCCAAAAATGGGCAAAATTTCTCCAAATACTCATTGCAAACCTCCTGAGAATCCACCAAATTCTCCATGAATCCTCCTACAAAGCGACTGGAGACATGCTGAAAATGGGCAAAATTCGCCAAAATATCGCCAAAAAATTGCCAAAAAATCCCAAAATTTCTCCAAAAACTCGCTCTGAGCATCCTGAAAATCCACCAAATTCTCCAAAAATTCCCAACATTTCGCCAAAAAGTGCATCCAAACCTCCTGGAAATCCATCACATTATCCAAGAATCCTCTGACAAAGTGACTGGAAACGTGCTGAAAATGGGCAAAATTACGCAAAAAATCGCCAAAAAATGCCAAATTTTCTCCAAGTACTCATTCCAAACCCTCTGAAAATCACCCAAATTATGTAAAAATCGCTAAAAAATCCCAATATTTCACAAAAAAATCCCAAAAAATCCCCTAAAAACCCCCAGAAGCTCACTGGAAACACCCCAAAAAATGGCAGATTTTCCCAAAAAACCCGTTTTTTCCCCAAACTCACCGAGGACTTGCAGCACGGCGTGCTCGCTGAAGCTGTACTGGTTGTAGCCTCCCAGGTCTGCCCTGAAGTAGTACCTCCCGGCGAGCTCGGCGCTGAGCGGCGGCCCGAGCTCCAGCGAGCAGTCCCGCAGCGCCGGGTCCCCAAAACCACCCAAAAACAGCCAAAAATCCCCCAAAAATCCCAAAAACCCATTCTGAGCATCCTGAAACCCACAAAATCCTCCAAAAAATCCACAAAATTCTCCAAAAACTCACTCCAAACCTCCTGAAAATCCACCAAATCCTCCAAGAATCCTCCTACAAAGTGACTCGAGACATGCTGAAAATGGGCAAAATTCCCCTAAAGATCCCCAAAAAAACGCCAAAAAATGCCAAAATTTCTCCAAAAACTCACTCCGAACCTCCTGAAAACTCACAAAATTCTCCAAAAATGGGCAAAATTTCTCCAAATACTCATTCCAAACCGCTTGAAAATCCATCACATTATCCAAGAATCCTTCAAGAAAGTGACTGCAAGCATGCTGAAAATGGGCAAAATTCTCCAAAAAATCGCCAAAAAAACGCCAAAAAATCCCAAAATTTCTGCAAAAACTCATTCCAAACCTCCTGAAAATCCGCAAAACTCTCCAAAAAATGCCAAAATTTCTTCCAAAAATCACTCCAAATCCCCTGAAAAGCCACCAAATTCTCCAAAAATCCTCCAAGAAAGCGACTCGAAACGTGCTGAAAATCGACAAAATTCTACAAAAAATCGCCAAAAAATGTCAAAATTTCTCCAAGTACTCATTCCAAACCTCCTGAAAATCCACGAAATTATTTAAAAATCGCTAAAAAATCAGAATATTTTGCTAAAAAACCCCCAAAAAATCCCCTAAAACCCCCCAGAACCATCCCAAAAAAAACCCAAAAAATCGGAATTTTTTCCCAAAATCGCCGGAATTCACCCCAAAAACTCACCGAGCACCTGGAGCACGGCATGCTCGCTGAAGCTGTACTGGTTGTAGCCTCCCAGATCTGCCCTGAAGTAGTAGCGGCCGGCGAGCTCGGCGCTGAGCGGCGGCCCGAGCTCCAGCGAGCAGTCCCGCAGCGCCGGGTCCCCCACGAGCCGCGCGCGCCCCGCGAAACTCTCGTGGACCGCCCCGGGCCGGGAGCGCGCCACCACGGGCGGGTAGTGCCGCGGGTAGGGGCTGCCCAGGTACCACAGCCCCTGCACCGAGCCCGGCCGCAGCTCCTCGGGGAACGAGAAGCGGCACGGGATGGAGGCGCAGGAGCCCGACAGGCCTGATATGGATGGGGGCATCCAGGCGGCCCAGGAGGCGGCCAGAATTCCTGCAAAAAATTGGGGAAAAATAGGGAAAATTGGTTAAAAACTGGAATATTGCAGCTTTGGGGGAGATTCATGGGGGTTTGGGGTTGGTATGTAGTGAAAAATGGGAGTTTAAGGGGATTTATGGGGAGTTTAGGGGTCCTAGATGGGATCAGGAGGCAGAAAAAATTCCTGGAAATTTGAGAAAAAATGTTAAAAAGTGGAATATTGGGGGTTTGGGGGGGAATGATGGAGTTTTGGGGTCGGTATGTGGCTGAAAATGGGAGATTTTGGGGGGTTTAAGGGGATTTATGGGGAGTTTAGGGGTCCTAGAAGGGCTCAGGAGGCAGCCAGAATTCCTGGGGAAAAATGGGGAAAAAAATATGGGAAAATGGTTAAAAATTGTGTTTTGGAGGGGTTCAGGGGGTTTTGGGGGCTGTATGTGGTGAAAAATGGGATATATGAGGGGGTTTAAGGGGATTTATGGGGGGTTTAGGGGTCCTAGAGGGGGTCAGGAGGCAGCCGGGATTCCTGGGGAAAAACGGGGGAAAATGCGGAAAAATGGGGAAAAATTGGTTAAAAAGTGAAATGTTGGGGGTTTGGGGTGAAATATTGGGGGTTGGGGTGGATTCATGGGGGTTTGGGGTCGGTATGTGGCAAAAAATGGGAGATTTGGGGAATTGAAGGGGGATTTAGGGAAGGGTTTTGGGGGGTTTAGGGGTCCTACAGGGGGTGGAGAGGTGGCCAGGATTCCTGGGGAAATGGGGAAAAATGGGGAAAATGGGGAAAAATTGGTTAAAAGCGGAATATTGGGGGTTTGGGATGGGTTTGGGGGCTGTATGTGCTGAAAAACGGGAGTTTAAGGGGATTTATGGGGGGTTTAGGGGTCCTAGAGGGGCTCAGAAGGCAGCCAAAATTCCTGTGGAAATGGGGAAAAATGGGGAAAATGGGGGAAAAATGGTTAAAAGTGAAATATTGGGGGTTTGGGGTGGAATGATGGGGGTTTGGGGGAGATTCAGGGGGATTTGGGGTCGGTATGTGGTGAAAAATGGAGATATGGGGGGGTTTAAGGGGATTTATGGGGGCTTTAGAAGTCCTAGAGAGGGTCAGGAGGCAGCCAAAATTCCTGAAAATTGAGAAAAAATGGTTAAAAGTGAAATATTGGGGGTTTGGGGTGGATTCTGGAGGGTTTGGGGGGGATTCAGGGGGGTTTGGGGTCGGTATGTGGCGAAAAATAGGAGTTTAAGGGGATTTAGGGGTCCTAGATGGGATCAGGAGGCGGCCAGAATTCCTGGGGAAAAATTGGGAAAAAAATATGGGAAAATGGTTAAAAGTGGAATATTGGGGCTTTGGGGGAGATTCATGGGGGTTTGGGGTGGATTCATGGGGGTTTGGGGTCGGTATGTGGTGAAAAACGGGAGATTTGAGGGTGCTTAAAGGGTCCTAGAGGAGGTGGAGAGGATCCCAACACTCCTGGGAATTTGGGGAAAAAAATGGGAAAAATGGGAAAAAGTTAAATATTGGGGGTTTGGGGTGGAATGATGGGGGTTTGGGGTCGGTATGTGGTGAAAAATGGGAGTTTTGGGAGCGTTTAAGGGGATTTATAGGGGGTTTAGGAGTCCTAGATGGGGTCAGGAGGCAGCCAGAATTCCTGGGGAAAAATGGGGGAAAATGGTTAAAAGTGGGGAAAAATTGGTTAAAAGTGGAATATTGGGGGTTTTGGGGGGGTTTGGGGGTTGTATGTGGTGAAAAATGGGAGATTTAAGGAATTTAAGGGGGATTTAGGGAAGGGCTTAGGGGGGTTTAGGGGTCCTAGAGGAGGTGGGTCGGATCCCAAAATTCCTGGGAATTTGGGGAAAAAGTGGTTAAAAAGTGAAATATTGGGGGTTTGGGGTGGATTCAGGGGGATTTGGGGTCGGTATGTGGTGAAAAACGGGAGATTTGAGGGGGTTTAAGGGGATTTATGGGGGGTTTAGGGGTCCTACATGGGGTCAGGAGGCAGCCAAAATTCCTGAAAATTTGAGAAAAAATGGTTAAAAGTGAAATGTTGGGGGTTTGGGGTGGATTCAGGAGGGTTTGGGGGGGTTCAGGAGGGTTTGGGGTGGATTCAGGGGGGGTTTGGGATCTGTATGTGGTGAAAAATGGGATATATGAGGGGGTTTAAGGGGATTTAGGGGGGCTTTAGGGGTCCTAGAGGGGGTCAGGAGGCGGCCGCGATTCCTGGGGAAAAATTGGGGGAAATTGGTTAAAAGTGGAATATTGGGGGTTTGGGGTGAAATATTGGGGGTTTGGGGTGGAATGATGGAGTTTTGGGGTGGATTCATGGGGGTTTGGGGTCGGTATGTGGTGAAAAATGGGAGTTTAAGGGGATTTATGGGGGGTTTAGGGGTCCTACAGGGGGTCAGGAGGCGGCCAGAATTCCTGGGGAAAAATTGGGAAAAAAATATGGGAAAATGGTTAAAAGTGGAATATTGGGGTTTTGGGGGAGATTCATGGGGGTTTGGGGTGGATTCAGGGGGATTTGGGGTCGGTATGTGGTGAAAAACGGGAGATTTGAGGGGGTTTAAGGGGTCCTAAAGGAGGTGGGTAGGATCCCAAAATTCCTGGGAATTTGGAAAAAAAATGGGGAAAAGGGGTTAAAAATTTGGTTTATGGGGGTTCAGGGGGGTTTGGGGGCTGTATGTGGTGAAAAACTGGAGATTTAGGGAATTTATGGGGGATCTACAGGTCCTAGAGGGGATCAGGAGGCAGAAAAAATTCCTGAAAATTTGAGAAAAAATGGTTAAAAGTGAAATGTTGGGGGTTTGGGGTGGAATGTTGGGGGTTTGGGGTCGGTATGTGGTGAAAAATAGAAGTTTAAGGGGATTTATGGCGGGTTTAGGGGTCCTAAAGGAGGTAGGTGGGATCCCAACATTCCTGGGAATTTGGGGAAAAAATGGTTAAAAAGTGAAATGTTGGGGATTTGGGGTGGAATGATGGAGTTTTGGGGTGGATTTAGGGGGGTTTGGGGTCGGTATGTGCTGAAAAATGGGAGTTTTGGGAGGGTTTAAGGGGATTTAGGGGTCCTAGAAGGGGTCAGTAACCCCAAACCCCAAACCAGTAAGGAAAAACCCCAAACCAGTATAAACCAGTAAGGAAAAACCCTAAACCAGTAACCCCAAACCCCAAACCAGTAAGGAAAAACCCCAACCCAGTAACCCCAAACCCCAAACCAGTACAGACCAGTAACTCCAAACCCCAAACCAGTACAAACCAGTAACTCCAAACCCCAAACCAGTACAAACCAGTAACCCCAAACCCCAAACCAGTACAAACCAGTAAGGAAAAACCCCAAACCAGTAAGGAAAACCCCCAAAGCAGTAACTCCAAACCCCAAACCAGTAACTGCGAGCCCCAAACCAGTATAAACCAGTAAGGAAAAACGTCAAACCAGTAACCCCAAACCCCAAACCAGTACAGACCAGTAAGGAAAAACCCCGAACCAGTACAAACCAGTAACCCCAAACCCCAAACCAGTAAGGAATAACCCCAAACCAGTAACCCCAAACCCCAAACCAGTACAAACCAGTAAGGAACAACCCCAAACCAGTAACCCCAAACCCCAAACCAGTACAAACCAGTAACCCCAAACCCCAAACCAGTAACCCCAAACCCCAAACCAGTATAAACCAGTAAGGAAAAACCCCAAACCAGTAACCCCAAACCCCAAGCCAGTATAAACCAGTAAGGAAAAACCCCAAACCAGTAAGGAAAAACCCCAAACCAGTACAGACCAGTAACTCCAAACCCCAAACCAGTACAAACCAGTAACCCCAAATCCCAAACCAGTCCAAACCAGTAATTCCAAACCCCAAACCAGTAAGGAAAAACCCCAAACCAGTCCAAACCAGTAATTCCAAACCCCAAACCAGTAAGGAAAAACCCCAAACCAGTACAAACCAGTAACTCCAAACCCCAAACCAGTAAGGAAAAACCCCAAACCAGTAAGGAAAAACCCCAAACCAGTAACCCCAAACCCCAAACCAGTACAAACCAGTAAGGAAAAACCCTAAACCAGTAACCCCAAACTACAAACCAGTAAGGAAAAACCCCAAACCAGTACAAACCAGTAACTCCAAACCCCAAACCAGTAACCCCAAACCCCAAACCAGTAAGGAAAACCCCAAACCAGTAAGGAATAACCCCAAACCAGTACAAACCAGTAAGGAAAAACCCCAAACCAGTACAAACCAGTAAGGAAAAACCCCAAACCAGTCCATCCCAGTCCAAACCAGTCCAAACCAGTACAAACCAGTACCTGGCGGCAGCAGCAGCAGCAGCATCAGGGGGCGGCTCATGGTGGCCCTGGGGACAGGGGGGACACGGGGTCACCTCCGGGGCCACCAGTATAAACCAGTATCAACCAGTATAAACCATTATCACCTCCGGTGCCACCAGTATAAACCAGTATAAACCAGTATAAACCAGTATAAACCAGTATAAACCATTATCACCTCCAGTTCCACCAGTATAAACCAGTATAAACCAGTAAGGCCCAGTATAAACCATTATCACCTCTGGTGCCACCAGTATAAACCAGTATAAACCAGTAGAAACCAGTATAAACCATTATCACCTCCAGCACCACCAGTATAAACCAGTATAAACCAGTATAAACCAGTATAAACCATTATCACCTCTGGTGCCACCAGTATAAACCAGTATAAACCAGTATGGCCCAGTGTAAACCATTATCACATCCGGTGCCACCAGTATAAACCAGTATCAACCAGTATAAACCAGTATCAACCAGTATAAACCAGTATAAACCATTATCACCTCCGGTGCCACCAGTATAAACCACTATAAACCAGTATACCCCAGTGTCACCTCCAGTGGCACCAGTATAAACCAGTAGATCCCAGTATCCCCCAGTGTTCCCAGTTCCCCCAGTCCGTCCCAGTGCTCCCAGTCCCTCCCAGTGCTCCCAGTCCCCTCCCAGTGCTCCCAGTCCCTGTCCCAGTGCTCCCAGTTTGTCCCAGTCCCATCCCAGTGCTCCCAGTCCCTCCCAGTGCCCCCCAGTATCCCCCCCAGTCCCTCCCAGTGCTCCCAGTACCTCTCGATGTCCCTGTCCCAGTGCTCCCAGTCTGTCCCAGTGCCTCCCAGTCCCCCCCAGTCCCTCCCAGTGCTCCCAGTACCTCTCAGTGTCCCTGTCCCAGTGACTCCCAGTGCTCCCAGTCCCTGTCCCAGTGGTTCCCAGTCTGTCCCAGTGCTCCCAGTCCCTCCCAGTCCCCCCCAGTGCTCCCAGTACCTCTCGATGTCCCTGTCCCGATGCTCCCAGTCCATCCCAGTCCCTCCCAGTGCTCCCAGTCCCCCCCAGTACCTCTCAGTGTCCCTGTCCCAGTGTCCCCAGTCCCTCCCAGTTCCCTCCCAGTCCCTCCCAGTCCCCCCCAGTCTTTCCAGTGGCTCCCAGTCCCCCCAGTATCCCCTCCAGTCCCTCCCAGTCCCTCCCAGTGCTCCCAGTACCTCTCGCTGTCCCTGTCCCCAGTGCTCCCAGTGGCTCCCAGTCTCTGTCCCAGTGCTCCCAGTCCCCCCAGTATCCCTCCCAGTCCCTCCCAGTCCCTCCCAGTCCCCTCCAGTCCCTCCCAGTGCTCCCCAGTATCCCCCCCCAGTCCCTCCCAGTTCCTCCCAGTCTGTCCCAGTCCCCCTCAGTGTCCCCTCCAGTCCCTCCCAGTGCTCCCAGTGCTCCCAGTACCTCTCAGTGTCCCTGTCCCGAGCGCTCCCAGTCCCTGTCCCAGTGCTCCCAGTCTGTCCCAGTGTTCCCAGTGCTCCCAGTTCCCTCCCAGTCCCTCCCAGTTCCCTCCCAGTCCCTCCCAGTATCCCCCCCCAGTCCCTCCCAGTCCCTCCCAGTGCTCCCAGTTCCTCCCAGTACCTCTTGATGTCCCTGTCCCAGTGATTTCCAGTCTGTCCCAGTGCTCCCAGTCCCTGTCCCAGTGGCTCCCAGTGCTCCCAGTCTGTCCCAGTGGTTCCCAGTCCCTCCCAGTGCTCCCAGTCCCCCCAGTGTCCCTCCCAGTTCCCTCCCAGTCCCTCCCAGTCTGTCCCAGTATCCCTCCCAGTCCCCCCCAGTACCTCTCAGTGTCCCTGTCCCAGTGGCTCCCAGTGCTCCCAGTCCCTGTCCCAGTGCTCCCCAGTGTTCCCAGTCCCCCCAGTGTCCCCTCCAGTCCCCTCCCAGTCCCTCCCAGTCCCTCCCAGTGCTCCCAGTCCCTCCCAGTCCCTCCCAGTGCTCCCAGTCCCCCCCAGTCCCTCCCAGCCCCTCCCCCGGTGCCACCGTCCCCATTGTCCCCATTGTCCCGCCGGTCCCAGGCGGTGCCGGGGGCGGGTGACAGCACCGGCCACGGGGTCCCCTCCCCCCCCTTGTCCCCAACTTGTCCCCCCGCCCCTCCCCCACCCCCGCCCCTCCCCCCACGCGCGAATTCCGCACGAGCCGCGGCCCAAAAACCACAAAAAAACCACCAAAAACCACAAAAAAACCACAAAAAAAGCGACAAAGGGACCCAGTGTGACACCCCCGGGGGGAGGGGCGGGCGCGGGGGGGGCGGGGAGGGGGGGGGGGAGGGGGTCCCCGGAATTTTGGGGGGGTCCCAAGGGGGGTTTTGGGGGAAAATCCCGAAATTTTGGGAAAAATCCCGAAATTTTGGGAAAAATCCCGAAATTTTGGGGGATTTGGAGGAGATTTTTTGGGGTTTAAAGGAGATTTTTGGGGTTTAAAGGAGATTTTGGGGGGGGAAATCCCGGAATTTTGGAGGTCCCGGGAAGTTTTGGGGGTCCCCGGAATTTTGGGGGGGTCCCAAGGGGGGTTTTGGGGGGAAATCCCGAAATTTTGGGAGAAATCCCGAAATTTTGGGGGATTTGGAGGAGATTTTTTGGGGTTTAAAGGAGATTTTTGGGGTTTAAAGGAATTTTGGGGGGTAAAATCCCGGAATTTTGGAGGTTCCGGGAAGTTTTGGGGGTCCCCGGAATTTTGGGGGGGGTCCCAAGGAGGGTTTTGGGGGAAAATCCCGAAATTTTGGGAGAAATCCCGAAATTTTGGGGGATTTGGAGGAGATTTTTTGGGGTTCAAAGGAGATTTTTGGGGTTTAAAGGAGATTTTGGGGGGGAAAATCCCGGAATTTTGGAGGTCCCGGGAAGTTTTGGGGGTCCCCGGAATTTTGGGGGGGGTCCCAAGGGGGGTTTTGGGGGGAAATCCCGGAATTTTGGGAGAAATCCCGAAATTTTGGGGATTTTGTGAAGATTTTTGGGGTTTTAATGGAGTTTTTTGGGGGTCACGGGAAGTTTTTTTGGGGGTAAAATCCCGGAATTTGGGGGTCCCGGGAAGTTTTGGGGGTCCCCGGAATTTTGGGGGGGGGTCCCAAGGGGGGTTTTGGGGGAAAATCCCGGAATTTTGGGGGGATTTTTGAGGAGTTTTTGGAGGTTTTAAAGGAGATTTTTTTGGGGGGTTCCAGGAGTTTTTTTTGGGGGGTCGCGGGAAATTTTGGGGTCCTCGGAATTGTGGGGGTGTCCCAAGAGGAGTTTTTTGGGGGAAAATCCCGGAATTTTGGGAATTTCCCGCAATTTTGGGGGATTTTAAGGACTTTTTTTGGAGCGTTTTTAAGGAATTTTTGGTGGAAAATCCCGAATTTTTGGGGGATCCCGGGAGGTTTTTTTGGGTGGAAATTCAGGATTTTTGGGGGGGTCCCAGAGGAGGGGGGGTGTCCCCAACCCGATGACGTCATCGCCCACCCTGAGGGGGGTCACGACCCCAAATTTGGGGGGGGGGGGGCGCCACTTACCTCCCAAAATTCCCGGGGGTCCCCAAAGCTCCGGGGGGTCCCAAATTTGGGGGCCGAGTGTGGGGGAGGGGGGGAAGGGCCGGGATTAAATGGGGGGGGAGGGGGAGGGGCCGGACCCGCCCCTCCCCCCCCTCCCCCCCCTTGGGATTTTCCTCCTTTTCCCATTTTTCCCCGTTTTTCCCCCATTTTCCCCCATTTATTCCCAATTTTCCCCCGAATTTCCCCAAATTTTCCCCATTTTCCCCCTTTTTACCCCAAATTTCCCCAAACTTCCCCAAATTTCACCACAATTTTTCCCCAATTTCACCCCAAATTTCCCCCCAAATTCCCCCCAAATTTCCCCCCAAATTTTCCCCAATTTCACCCCAAATTTTCCCCAATTTCACCCCAATTCCCCCAAATTTCCCCCCAAATTTTCCCAAATTTTCCCCAATTTCACCCCAATTTTCCCCTCAAATTTTCCCCGATTTCCCCCCAATTTTCTCCAATTTCACCCCAAATTTTCCCCAATTTCACCCCAAATTTCACCCCAAATTTTCCCCAATTTCAACCCAAATTTCCCCCCAATTTCACCCCAAATTTCCCCCCAAATTTTCCCCAAATTTTCCCCCAAATTTCCCCCCACATTTTCCCCAATTTCCCAAAAATTCCCCGATTTCCCCCCGATTTTTCCCAATTTCACCCCAAATTTTCCCCCCAAATTTCACCTCAAATTTCCCCCCAAATTTCCCCCCAATTTTTCCCCAATTTCCCCCCAAATTTTCCCCAATTTCAACCCAAATTTCCCCCCAATTTTTCCCCAATTTCCCCAATTTTTCCCCAATTTCCCCCCGATTTTCTCCAATTTCACCCCAAATTTTCCCCAATTTACCCCAATTTCACCCCAAATTTTCCCCAATTTCAACCCAAATTTCCCCCCAATTTTTCCCCAATTTCCCCAAATTTTCCCCGATTCACTCCAAATTTTCCCCCAATTTTTCCCCAATTTCCCCGAATTTTCCCCAATTTCCCCCTGATTTTCCCCCGATTGTCTCCCCAATTTTCCCAAATTTTCCCCAATTTCACCCCAAATTTCCCCCCAATTTTTCCCCAATTTCACCCCAAATTTTCCCCAATTTTCCCCCCATTTTCCCCCGATTGTCTCCCCAATTTTCCCAAATTTTCCTCAATTTCACCCCAAATTTCCCCCCAAATTTACCCCCAAATTTTCCCCAAATTTTCCCCAATTTCACCCCAAATTTTCCCCAATTTCCCCCCAAATTTCCCCAAATTTCCCCAAATTTTCCCCGATTTCACTCCAAATTTCCCCCCAAAATTTCCCCAATTTCACCCCAAATTTCCCCCCAAATTTTCCCCAATTTTCCCCAATTTTCCCCCAAATTTCCCCCCAAATTTCCCCCCAAATTCCCCCCCAAATTTTCCCCAAATTTTCCCCGATTTCCCCCCAAATTTCCCCAATTTTCCGCAAATTCCCCCAATTTTCCTCAATTCCCCCAATATTTCCCCAATATTTCCCAATTTCCCCCCGAATTTCCCCAATTTTCCCCCAATTTTCCCCAAATTCTCCCGCTCCCACAGCGGTGGGCGTGGCCTGGGCCGGAAGTGGGCGTGTCCAGGTGCGCCGGCCCCGCCCCCTCAGGCCCCGCCCACACCTGTCCGGTCCAAGATGGCGGCGGCGCTGGGGGCGCTGCTGGCGCTGCTCGGTGGGCGAGGGGCGGTTCATTAATTGCGTTAATTAAGGGGCTGGGGGTTAATTGGGGGGGTAATTAATGGGGGCCGGGGTAATTAAGGGGGTTTGGGGGTAATTAATGGGGTTCGGGGGGGTAATTAATGGGCTGGGGGTTAATTGGGGGGGTAATTAATGGGGTTCGGGGGGTAATTAATGGGGTTTGGGGGGTAATTAAGGGGGTTCGGGGGGTAATTAAGGGGCTGGGGGTTAATTGGGGGGGTAATTAATGGGGTCCGGGGGGTAATTAATGGGGTTTGGGGGGTAATTAATGGGGTCCGGGGGGTAATTAAGGGGGTTTGGGGGGTAATTAAGGGGGTTTGGGGGTAATTACTGGGGTTCGGGGGGTAATTAAGGGGGTTTGGGGGTAATTAATGGGGTTCGGGGGGTAATTAAGGGGGTTTGGGGGTAATTAATGGGGTTCGGGGGGTAATTAAGGGGGTTTGGGGGTAATTAAGGGGGTTTGGGGGTAATTACTGGGGTTCGGGGGGTAATTAAGGGGGTTTGGGGGTAATTAAGGGGCTGGGGGTTAATTGGGGGGGCAATTAATGAGGTCCGGGGGGTAATTAAGGGGCTGGGGGTTAATTGAGGGGGGTAATTAATGGGCTCCGGGGGGTAATTAAGGGGGTTTGGGGGTAATTAATGGGGTCCGGGGGGTAATTAAGGGGGTTTGGGGGTAATTAAGGGGGTTTGGGGGTAATTAATGGGGTTTGGGGGTAATTAAGGGGGTTTGGGGGTAATTAATGGGGTCCGGGGGGTAATTAAGGGGGTTGGGGGGTAATTAATGGGGTCCGGGGGGTAATTAAGGGGGTTTGGGAGTAATTAAGGGGGTTTGGGGGGTAATTAAGGGGGTTTGGGGGTTAATTGGGGGGGTAATTAATGGGGTCCGGGGGGTAATTAATGGGGTTCGGGGGGTAATTAAGGGGGTTTGGGGGGTAATTAAGGGGCTGGGGGTTAATTGGGGGGGCAATTAATGGGGTTTGGGGGGTAATTAGGGGGTTTGGGGGTAATAATGGGGGGGGTTTCGGGGGGTAATTAAGGGGCTGGGGGTTAATTGGGGGGGTAATTAATGAGGTCCGGGGGATAATTAAGGGGGTTTGGGGGTACTTAAGGGGGTTTGGGGGTAATTAAGGGGCTGGGGGTTAATTGGGGGGGTAATTAATGGGGTTTCGGGGTAATTAATGGGGCAATTGAAGGGCTGGGCAGGTGAGAGACACCGACGGCCTCACCTGGGCAGGTGACCCTGGGTGACAGTGACCCCAACTCACCTGGGCAGGTGACACAAGGTGACAATGACCCCGTTCAGGTGTCACTGACAGCCTCACCTGGGCAGGTGACCCTGGGTGAGAGTGACCCCATCTCACCTGGGCAGGTGACACTGACCCCGTCTCACCTGCCCAGGTGTCACTGCAGGTGTCAGTCTCACCTGCCCATGCCCATCTCACCTGCCCAGGTGTCTCACCTGCCCAGGTGTCCCAGTCTGACCATGCCCATCTCACCTGCCCAGGTGTCACTGCAGGTGTCAGTGACCTGTCTCACCTGCCCAGGTGTCAGTCTCACCTGCCCAGGTGTCAGTCTCACCTGACCGTGCCCATCTCACCTGCCCAGGTGTCACAGGCTGACCATGCCCATCTCACCTGCCCAGGTGTCAGTCTCACCTGCCCATGCCCATCTCACCTGCCCAGGTGTCCCAGCCTGACCATGCCCGTCTCACCTGCCCAGGTGTCACAGTCTGACCATGCCCATCTCACCTGCCCAGGTGTCAGTCTCACCTGCCCAGGTGGCACAGGGTATCAGTGACCTGTCTCACCTGCCCAGGTGTCAGTCTCACCTGACCACGCCCATCTCACCTGCCCAGGTGTCAGTCTCACCTGCCCAGGTGTCAGTCTCACCTGACCATGCCCGTCTCACCTGCCCAGGTGGCACAGGGTGTCAGTCTCACCTGCCCAGGTGGCACAGGCTGACCGTGTCAGTCTCACCTGCCCAGGTGTCTCACCTGCCCAGGTGTCAGTCTCACCTGCCCAGGTGTCCCAGTCTGACCATGCCCGTCTCACCTGCCCAGGTGTCAGTGTCAGTCTCACCTGCCCAGGTGTCCCAGTCTGACCATGCCCATCTCACCTGCCCAGGTGTCAGTGTCAGTCTCACCTGCCCAGGTGTCCCAGTCTGACCATGCCCATCTCACCTGCGCAGGTGTCAGTGTCAGTCTCACCTGCCCAGGTGTCCCAGTCTGACCATGCCCATCTCACCTGCCCAGGTGTCAGTGTCAGTCTCACCTGCCCAGGTGTCCCAGTCTGACCGTGCCCATCTCACCTGCGCAGGTGCGCCGCTGCAGGTGTGGCCGCTGCAGGTGTCGGTGCCCGAGCCCCGCACGGTGGCGCTGCTCTTCCAGCCGGTGCTGCTGCGCTGCCACTTCCAGGTGAGCTCACCTGGCCCCGCGCCCATCGTCACCTGGAAGTACAAATCCTTCTGCCCCGACACCTGGGCGGGGCCCGGCGCCACCTGGGACTCACCTGGCGAGGCGGCGGGCGCCTGCCCCGACTCGGCGCGCACCGTGCGCATCGTGGCCACCAAGCAGGGCCAGCAGGTGACCCTGGGAGACTTCTACCTGGGCAGGCCCGTCACCATCCAGGGAGGTGAGCGCACCTGGCACACCTGGGCACATCTGGGAGGGGCAGGGGCACACCTGGGCACAACTGGGGCACACCTGGGGAGGGGCAGGGGCACACCTGGGGGCACCTGGGAGGGAGATACAGCCTCAAGACACTCACCTGGGCACACCTGGGGCACCTGGGAGGGGCAGGGGCACACCTGGGCACACCTGGGGAACACCTGGGAGGGAGATACAGCCTGGAGACACTCACCTGGGCACACCTGGGACACACCTGGGCACACCTGGGGGCACCTGGGGGCACCTGGGCACACCTGGGCGCACCGTGCGCATCGTGGCCACCAAGCAGGGCCAGCAGGTGACCCTGGGGGACTTCTACCTGGGCAGGCCCGTCACCATCCAGGGAGGTGAGCGCACCTGGGCACACCTGGGGGCACACCTGGGCACACACCTGGGGGGGGCTGGGGGCAGCTGGGGGGAGATACAGCCTGGGGACACTCACCTGGGCACACCTGGGGGCACCTGGGCACACCTGGGGGCACACCTGGGGGCACCTTGGGGCACACCTGGGCACATCTGGGGGCACCTGGGGCACACCTGGGGGCACCTGGGGGGGCAGGTGACCCTGGGAGACTTCTACCTGGGCAGGCCCGTCACCATCCAGGGAGGTGAGCGCACCTGGGGCACCTGGGCACACCTGGGAGGGGCAGGGGCACACCTGGGCCACACCTGGGGGCACCTGGGGGTACCTGGGGGGGGCAGGTGACCCTGGGGGACTTCTACCTGGGCAGGCCCGTCACCATCCAGGGAGGTGAGCGCACCTGGCACACCTGGGGGCACACCTGGGAGGGGCAGGGTCACACCTGGGGCACACCTGGGCACACCTGGGGGCACCCGGGGCACCTGGGCACACCTGGGGGCACATGTGGGCACATCTGGGGGCACCTGGGGGTACCTGGGAGGGGCAGGGGCACACCTGGGGGCACACCTGGGCACACCTGGGAGGGGCAGGGACACACCTGGGGCACACCTGGGCACACCTGGGGGCACCTGGGAGGGAGATACAGCCTGGAGATGCTCACCTGGGCACACCTGGGGACACCTGGACACACCTGGGGGCACCTGGGCACACTGGGGGGGGCAGGTGACCCTGGGCAACTTCTACCTGGGCAGGCCCGTCACCATCCAGGGAGGTGAGCGCACCTGGGGCACCTGGGGGCACACCTGGGGCACACCTGGGGCACCTGGGGGCACCTGAGCACACCCGGGAACCCACCTGGGGACACCTGGGGAACACCTGGGCACACCTGGGAGGGGCAGGGGCACACCTGGGGATACCTGGGCACACCTGGGGGCACACCTGGGGGCACATGAGTACACCTGGGGCACACCTGGGCACACCTGGGAGGGGCAGGGGCACACCTGGGGGCACCTGGGGGGAGATACAGCCTGGAGACACGCACCTGGGCACACCTGGGGGCACACCTGGGGGCAGCTTGGGGACAGATACGGCCTGGAGACATTCACCTGGGCACACCTGGCACACCTGGGGGCACACCTGGGGATGCCTCACCACACCTGGGGCATACCTGGGCACACCTGGGGGCACCTGGGGGCACCTGGGGGGACAGGTGACCCTGGGAGACTTCTACCTGGGCAGGCCCGTCACCATCCAGGGAGGTGAGCGCACCTGGGGCACCTGGGCACACCTGGGCACACTTGGGGGCACACCTGGGGGCACATGTGGGGGCAGCTGGGGTACACCTGGGGCACACCTGGGGCACACCTGGGAGGGGCAGGGACACACCTGGGCACACCTGGGACACACCTGGGCACACCTGGGCACACCTGGGGACACCTGGGCACACCTGAGCACACCTGGGAGGGGCACCTGGGCGCACCTGGGGGCACCTGGGGGGACCTGGGGGGGCAGGTGACCCTGGGAGACTTCTACCTGGGCAGGCCCGTCACCATCCAGGGAGGTGAGCACACCTGGGGCACCTGGGCACACACCTGGGCACACCTGGGGATGCCTCAGCATACCTGGGCACACCTGGGCACACCCGGGCACACCTGGGGTAAACCTGGGGCACACCTGGGCACACCTGGCACACCTGGGGGCACACCTGGGCACACCTGGGGCACACCTGGGCACACCTGGGGCACACCTGGGCACACCTGGGGCACACCTGGGGGTACCTGGGGCACACCTGGGACACACTTGGGCACACCTGGGGCACACCTGGGCACACCTGGGCACACCTGGGCACACCTGGGGCACACTTGGGCACACCTGGGGGCACCTGGGTACACCTGGCACACCTGGGGCACACCTGGGGCACACCTGGGACACACCTGGGCACACCTGGGGCACACCTGGGGGCACCCCTGGGTACACCTGGGCACACCTGGGGCACACCTGGGGCACACCTGGGCACACCTGGGGCACACCTGGCACACCTGGCACACCTGGCACACCTGGCACACCTGGCAGGTGCGGAGCTGAGCCTGGGCCCCGCGGCCTGGGGCGACTCCGGCCTTTACCTGTGCACGGTGACCTCGACCAGCGACCTGCAGGGCAACAACGAGGCCGTGGCCGAGCTGGTGGTGCTGGGTGAGACTGGTTCTTACTGGTTTATACTGGTTTATACTGGGACAGACTGGGAGGGGCTGGGGAAGGGTTAAAGGGGATTTGGGGTCACTGGTTTGTACTGGGAGGGGATTTGGGGTCACTGGTTTGTACTGGGAGGGGTTTGGGGTTACTGGTCTATACTGGTCTATACTGCTTTGGGCTGGGGTTACTGGTTTATACTGGTCTATACTGGTTTGCACTGGTCTATACTGGTCTATACTGGTTTGGGTTGGTCTATACTGGTCTATACTGGTTTGGGGCTGCGGTTACTGGTTTGCACTGGTTTATACTGGTTTATACTGGTTTGGGGCTGGGGTTACTGGTCTATACTGGTCTATACTGGTTTGGGCTGGGGTTACTGGTTTATACTGGTCTATACTGGTATATACTGGTCTATACTGGTTTGGAGCTGGTTTATACTGGTTTATACTGGTCTATACTGGTCTATACTGGTCTATACTGGTTTGGGGCTGGAGTTACTGGTCTATACTGGTTTGGGCTGGGGTTACTGGTTTATACTGGTCTATACTGGTATATACTGGTCTATACTGGTTTGGAGCTGGTTTATACTGGTTTATACTGGTCTATACTGGTCTATACTGGTCTATACTGGTTTGGGGATGGGGTTACTGGTTTATACTGGTTTATACTGGTCTATACTGGTTTATACTGGTTTGGGTTGGGGTTACTGGTCTATACTGGTTTGCAATGGTCTATACTGGTTTATACTGGTTTGGGCTGGGGTTACTGGTCTATACTGGTTTGCACTGGTCTATACTGGTCTATACTGGTTTGGGGCTGGGGTTACTGGTCTATACTGATCTATACTGGTTTGTACTGGTCTATACTGGTTTGGGTTGGGGTTACTGGTCTATACTGGTTTGTACTGGTCTATACTGGTCTATACTGGTTTGGGCTGGGGTTACTGGTCTATACTGGGAGCAGCGGGGGCTGCACTGGGCCCCTCCCCCCGTGTCCCCCCAGGGTCTCTTCCCGAGGGCTCCCGGCTGCTGCCCGAGGGGACCCTGCCAGGTACGGGCACACCTGGGCACACCTGGGCGCACCTGGGCACACCTGGGCACACCTGGGCACACCTGGGCACACCTGGGGGCACCTGGGCACACCTGGGCACACCTGGGCACACCTGGGCACAGCTGGGCAAACCTGGGCACACCTGGGGGCACCTGGGAACTCACCTGGGCACACCTGGGCACACCTGGGGGCACCTGGGGGCACCTGGGGACAGCTGGACACAGCTGGGAACTCACCTGGGCACACCTGAGATACACCTGGACACACCTGGGCACACCTGGGGTCACCTGGGCACACCTGGGAACTCACCTGGGCACACCTGGGATACACCTGGGCACACCTGGGGTCACCTGGGCACACCTGGGAACTCACCTGGGCACACCTGGGGTCACCTGGGCACACCTGGGCACACCTGGGCACTCACCTGGGCACACCTGGGGCACACCTGGGAGCACCTGGGGGCACCTGGGCACACCTGGGGGCACCTGGGCACACCTGGGCACACCTGGAAGCACCTGGGGGCACCTGGGCACACCTGGGGGCACCTGGGAACTCACCTGGGCACACCTGGGGGCACCTGGGGGCACCTGGGAACTCACCTGGGCACACCTGGGGATACACCTGGGCACACCTGGGGGCACCTGGGCACACCTGGGGGCACCTGGGAACTCACCTGGGCACACCTGGGCACACCTGGGCACAGCTGGGGCACACCTGAGGCACACCTGGGGACAGCTGGGGGCACCTGGGAACTCACCTGGGCACACCTGGGCACACCTGGGGGGTACCTGGGGGTGAAATTAGGGGAGAAGCGGTGAAGGCTGGGGGGAAATTGAGGAAATTTTGGGGATTTTGAGGAAAATTTTGAGGAAATTTTGGGGATTTTGAGGGAAATTTTGGGGATTTCGAAGGAAATTTTGGGGTCTGGGCACACCTGGGCACATCTGGGCACACCTGGGGGCACAGCTGGGTCACACCCGGGCACACCTGGGAACTCACCTGGGCACACCTGGGCACACCTGGGGGCACCTGGGGATTTTGAGGGAAATTTTGGGGATTTTGAGGAAATTTTGGGGATTTTGAGGAAATTTTGGGGATTTTGAAGGAAATTTTGGGGTCTGGGCACACCTGGGCACACCTGGGGGCACCTGGGGGCAAAGCTGGGGGCACCTGGGGATTTTGAGGGAAATTTTTGGGATTTTGAGGAAATTTGGGGGATTTTGATGAAATTTTGGGGATTTTGAGGAAATTTTGGGGTCTGGGCACACCTGGGGGCACCTGGGGGCACAGGTGGGTCACACCTGGGCACACCTGGGGGCACCTGGGATAACTTTGGGCCAATTTCCGATGGTTTGGGGCGATTAGTGATGCTTTATGCGGATTTATGCAAATGTATGCTAATGTATGCAAATGTGCCCGTTGCAGATTGGCTGTTCGTGGCGCTGGTGGCGCTGGGGGCGGGGCTGGTGGCGCTGGGGGCGGGGCTGTGCTGGTGCCAGTGCTGCCCCCACACCTGCTGCTGTTACCTGCGCTGCCCCTGCTGCCCCCGCACCTGCTGCTGCCCCGAGGCCCGTGAGTCACCTGGGCACACCTGGGCACTGCCAAACACACACCTGGGCACACCTGGGCACACCTGGGCACACCTGGGCACACCTGGGGGCACCTGGGAAATCACCTGGGCACACCTGGGGGCACCTGGGAACTCACCTGGGCACACCTGGGCACACCTGGGGGCACCTGGGGGCACCTGCGGGCACCTGGGGGCACACCTGGGAACTCACCTGGGGGCACCTGGGGGCACCTGGGGGCACCTGGGAACTCACCTGGGCACACCTGGGGGCACCTGGGCACACCTGGGCACACCGGGGGGCACACATGGGCCACACCTGGGCACACCTGGGCACACCTGGGCACACCTGGGGGCACCTGGGAACTCACCTGGGCACACCTGGGCACAGCTGGGCACTGCCAAACACACACCTGGGGGCACCTGGGGGCACCTGGGCACACCTGGGGGCACCTGGGGGCACCTGGGATACACCTGGGCACTGCCAAACACACACCTGGGGGAACCTGTGGGCACCTGGGAACTCACCTGGGCGCACCTGGGCACACCTGGGGGCACCTGGGTGGGTTCAGGGTACACCTTGGCACACCTGGGGTTATGCTGGGCACACTTGGGTGGGTTCAGGGCACACCTGGGCACACCTGGGTAGGTTCAGGGCACACCTGGGTGGGTTCAGAGCACACCTGGGGGTATGCTGGGCACACCTGGGTGGGTTCAGAGCACACCTGGGCACACCTGGGGATATGCTGGGCACACCTGGGTGGGTTCAGAGCACACCTGGGCACACCTGGGGGTATGCTGGGCACACCTGGGTGGGTTCAGGGCACACCTGGGTGGGTTCAGGGCACACCTGGGCACACCTGGGGGTATGTCGGGCACACCTGGGGGTGGTTTTGGGCACACCTGGGCACATCTGGGCACACCTGGGCACACCTGGGGGTGGTTTTGGGCACACCTGGGCACACCTGGGGGTGGTTTTGGGTACACGTGGGCGCACCTGGGGGTATGCCGGGCACACCTGGCTGGGTTCAGGGCACACCTGGGGGTATTCTGGGCACACCTGGGTGGGTTCAGTGCACACCTGGGCACACCTGGGCACACCTGGAGGTGGTTTTGGGCACACCTGGGTGGGTTCAGGGCACACCTGGGTGGGTTCAGGGCACACCTGGGGTCGGCTCTGACCTCACCTGTGCCCACCTTTCCCCCCTCCCTGCCTCAGTTTACCTGGCCGGGAAAGCGGCGACCTCGGGGGGCACCTTCGGCCCCTCCCCCCACCCAGCGCTGCCCCTGCAGCTCCTCGGTGAGTGGGGGAGGGGCGGGCGGGGGAGGGGCCCGGGGGTGCCCAGGTGTGCCCAGGTGTGCCCGGGTGTGCCCAGGTGTGCCCGGGGGTGCCCAGGTGTGCCCAGGTGAGGCTCACCTGGCCCCTCCCCCCAGGCAGCAGTCAGAGCTCTCAGGTGCCGCTGCTGCGGGACGGCGACAGCGCAGGTGAGATGGGGATGATTGACTGGTTTATACTGGTTTATACTGGTTTATACTGGTTTATACTGGTTTGGACTGGTTTGGGACTGGTTTATACTGGTTTATACTGGTTTGGACTGGTTTGGGACTGGTTTGGACTGGTTTGGAATGGTTTGGGACTGGTTTGGACTGGTTTGGGACTGGTTTGGACTGGTTTGGGACTGGCTTATACTGGTTTATACTGGTTTATACTGGTTTGGGACTGGTTTGGGACTGGTTTGGACTGGTTTGGACTGGTTTGGGACTGGTTTGGGACTGGTTTGGACTGGTTTATAGTGGTTTGGGACTGGTTTGGAATGGTTGGGACTGGTTTAGAATGGTTTGGACTGGTTGGGACTGGTTTGGGACTGGTTTGGGACTGGTTTGGACTGGTTTGGACTGGTTTGGGGTTACTGGGAGGGAACTGGGTCCGTACTGGTCTGTACTGGTCCATACTGGTTTATACTGGTCCGTACTGTTCTGAACCAGTTTATACTGGTCTGTACTGATTTATACTGGTTCATACTGGTCTGTACTGGATTTTACTGGTCTGTACTGGTTTATACTGGTTTTTACTGGTCCATACTGGTCCGTACTGGTTTATACTGTTCTGTACTGGTTTTTATTGGTCTGGACTGGTTTATACTGGTCCATAGTGGATTTTACTGGTCTGTACTGGTTTTATTGGTCTGTACTGGTTTATACTGGTTTTTACTGGTCCGTACTGGTTTTTATTGGTCCATACTGGTCCGTACTGATTTACAATGGTCCGTACTGGTTTGTACTGGTCCATACTGGTTTATACTGGTCCGTACTGGTTTATACTGGGTTATACTGGTCCGTACTGGTTTTTACTGGTCCGTACTGGTTTATACTGGTCCGTACTGGTTTATACTGGTCCATACTGGTTTATACTGGTCCATATTGGTTTATACTGGTCCATACTGGTTTATACTGGTCCGTACTGATTTACAATGGTCCGTACTGGTTTATACTGGTCTGTACTGGTTTATACTGGTTTATACTGGTCCGTACTGGTTTATACTGGTCCGTACTGGTTTATACTGGTCCGTACTGGTTTATACTGGTTTATACTGGTCCATACTGGTTTATACTGGTCCGTACTGGTTTATACTGGTCTGTACTGGTTTATACTGGTTTTTACTCAATCATACTGGTTTTTACTGGTCCGTACTGGTTCATATTTGTCTGTACTGGTTTATACTGGTCCATACTGGTTTTTACTGGTCCGTACTGGTTTATACTGGTTTATACTGGTCCGTACTGGTTTATACTGGTTTTTACTGGTCCGTACTGGTCCATACTGGTCCGTACTGGTTTATACTGGTTTATACTGGTCCATACTGGTTTATACTGGTTTATACTGGTCCATACTGGTTTCCCGCAGCCCCCTCGGGACCCCCCCCCAGCGTCCTGCGGTACCTGGAGGAGCAGCTGCACACCTGGGGAGGGGGCGGGGCCAGGGAGTGGCCCCCAGGTGAGGGGGATTTGGGGGGATTTGGGGGGATTTGGGGGGATTTTGGGAATTTTGGGAATTTTGGGGCTTCCTGAGGGGGATTTGAGGTGAATTTGGGGGATTTTGGGGATTTTTTGGGGATTTTTTTGGGATTTTTTGGGAGGAATTTGGGGTTTTTTTGGTGGAGATTTGGGGGAGTCCTGGAGGGATTTTTGGGGATTTGGGGAAAATTTGGGGGAATTTTCAGGTGATTTGGGGGAATTTTGGGGGAATTTTGGGGGGATTTTCGGGGAAATTTGGGTATTTTTGTGGGGGGGGTCCTGGTGGGATTATTGGGAGGATTTTAGGGGGAATTTGGGGATTTTTGGGGGGATTTGAGGGGATATTTGGGGAAATTTGGGGATTTTGGGGAGAATTTGGGGGATTTCGGGAGGATTTGGGGGAATTTTTTGGGGGTTTTTGGGGAGATTTTGGGGGGATTTTTGGGGGGATTTTGGGGGATTTGGGGGATTTTTTGGGGGGATTTTGGGGGGATTTTTTTGGGGATTTTCGGGGGGATTTTGGGGGATTTTGTGGATTTTTTGGGGGGATTTTGAGGAGATCTTGGGGGGATTTTGGGGGATTTTTTGGGGGGGATTTTGGGGGGAATTTTTTTTGAGATTTTTGGGGGGATTTTGGGGGGATTTTGGGGAGGATTTTTGGGGGATTTTTTTGGGGGGATTTTGGGGGATTTTTGGGGGGATTTTTTTGGGGGGATTTTTGGGACATTTTGGGGGGATTTTTGGGGGTGATTTTTTGGGGGATTTTGGGGATTTTTGGGGGGGATTTTTTGGGGGATTTTTGGTGGGATTTGGGGGGATTTTTTGGGGGATTTGGGGGATTTTTTTGGGGGGATTTTGGGGAGATTTTGGAAGGATTTTTTGGGAGATTTTTGGGGGGGATTTTTTAGGGGATTTTGTGGATTTTTTGGGAGATTTTGGGAGATTTTTGGGGGGGATTTTTGGGGGATTTTGGGGGGATTTTTTGGGGGATTTTGGGGAGATTTTGGAAGGATTTTTTGGGAGATTTTTGGGGGGGATTTTTTAGGGGATTTTGTGGATTTTTTGGGAGATTTTGGGAGATTTTTGGGGGGGATTTTTGGGGGATTTTGGGGGGATTTTTTTGGGGGATTTTGGGGACATTTTGGGGGGATTTTTGGGGGGACTTTTTGGGGGATTTTGGGGATTTTTGGGGGGGATTTTGGGGAGATTTTGGGGAGATTTTTTGGGGGATTTTGGGGAGATTTTTGGGGGGGATTTTTGGGGGGATTTTGTGGATTTTTTGGGGGCAATTTGGGGAGATTTTTGGGGGGATTTTTGGGGGATTTTAGACATTTTTGGGGGGGATTTTGTGGAGATTTTGGGGGGATTTTGGGGGATTTTTGGGGAGGATTTTTTTTGGGATTTTTGGGGTGATTTTTTGGGGGATTTTGGGGAGATTTTTTTTGGGGGGGATTTTTGGGGGAATTTCGGGCGGATTTTGGGGGGATTTTGTGTCTCCTCAGCAGAATTTTGGGGGGGGGGGGGGGGGTCCTGAGGGGGGAGGGGCTCGCTCTCGCCCCTCCCCCACCTGACCCCTCCCCCCTCGCTCCAGGCCCCGCCCCCAGTGACGTCACTTCGCTGCACGAGCCCCCCCGGACCCCTCCCCCCCCCCGCTCGCGCTCGGCCGAGATTTTGGGGGGGGGGGAGGGGCGCGGGGTGGGGGAGGGGCGCTGGGGGGGGTCCCTGACCCCTCCCCCCCCTCCCGCCCCCCCCGCCGGGGGTGGAGCCCCCCTCCCCCACCCCGGGACCCCCCCCCGAACCCGCGGCGGCTGCGCAAGGTGGGGGAGGGGAAATTTGGGGGGTTTGGGGGGGATTTGGGGGGATTTGGGGGGATTTTGAGGGGATTTTGGGGAGAAATTTCAGAGATTTTGGGGGATTTTGGGGGGATTTGGGGGGATTTTGGGGGAAAATTGGGAAGATTTGAGGGGATTTTGGGGGAAAATTGGGAGATTTTGGGGGGAATTTTGGGGAAAATTGGGAGATTTTGGGGGATTTTGGGGGGATTTTGGGGGAAAATTTGGAGATTTTGGGGGATTTTGGAGGATTTGGGGGGATTTGAGGGGATTTTGGGGGAAAATTGGGAGATTTTGGGGGGATTTGGGGGGATTTTGGGGGGAAATTTTGGAGATTTTTGGGGGGATTTGGGGGGGATTTTCAAGGCAGTTTTCGGGAGGTTTGTGGGAATTTGGGTGAAATTTTGGAAAAAATTTGGGGATTTGTGCAAAAAATTGAGGATTTGGGGAATTTCGGGAGGATTTGGGGGAATTTGGGGAAAAATTGGGGGGTTTTGGGGGGAATTTGGCTGAAATTTGGGGGGAATTTTGGGGTATTTGGGAATTTTGTGGGGACTGGGAGAGGTTTGGGGGGTCCTGGGTGGGATTTTGGGGGATTTTGGCGTATTTTTGGGATAATTTTGGGTATTTCGGGATAATTTCTGTTAATTTTGGCTATTTTGGGGTATTTTTGGGGGGTCTCCACCTGTCTCACCCCCTTTTTTTTTCCCCTCCCCCCCCAGAACGACGCCTTGAGCCGCGAGAGCCTCGTGGTGTGAGCGGGACCCCAAAATCCCCCAAAATCCCCCCAAAATCCCCGAAAATCCCCCCAAAATTCCCCCAAAATCCCAAATCTCTCAAAAAATCCCAAATTCCCCCAAAATTCCGGAACTTTCCCTGCATTTTCCCCCTCCCCCGCTCGTTTTTGGGCTTTTTTGGTGCCTTAAATTTGAATTTTTTATGATTTTTTAAAGATTTGGGGGAGGGGTCTCCCCCTTCCCCTCCCCCCACCCGAGATTTGGGGCCAAATAAAGGATTTTAGAGAAATTCGGAGTTGGTGACGTCATCGATGCGCCTGTGACGTCATTGACCAGCCGGTGACGTCACTGGGGAGAAAAGGGGAGGGTTGGGGGGATTTTGGGGAATTTTTAGGGAATTTTGGGGGATTTTGGGAGAATTTTGGGGAATTTTTTTGGGATTTGAGGTGAATTTGGTGGAATTTAGGGGAACTTGGGGGAATTTTAAGTGAATTTCACGGGATTTTGGGGCATTTCAGGTGAATTTCCTGGAATTTTGGGGGGTTTTCCTTGGAATTAGTGGAATTTTGGGTGGATTTCCTGAGATTTTGTGGAATTTTGGGCGAATTTTGGGGCGTTTCGAGTGAATTTCCTGGAATTTTTGGTGCATTTCCCAGGATTTTATGGAATTTTGGGTGATTTTCCCAGGATTTTGGGGCATTTTGGGTGAATTTCCTGGAATTTCCCGGGAAATTTGAGGGTATTACTCAGGATTTTGTGGAATTTTAGGTGAATTTTGCGGGATTTTGGGGCATTTCGGGTGAATTTCCTGGAATTTTTTGGGATTTCCCCACGATTTTTTGGGAATTTCCCACGATTTTTTGGGGATTTCCCTCCGATTTTTTTTGGGAATTTCCCACGATTTTTTGGGGAATTTCCCACGATTTTTTGGGAATTTCCCACGATTTTTTGGGAATTTCCCACGATTTTTTGGGATTTCCCCACGATTTTTTGGGAATTTCCCACGATTTTTTGCGATTTCCCACGATTTTTTGGGATTTCCCACGATTTTTTGGGATTTCCCACTTTTTTTGGGATTTCCCCACGATTTTTTGGGATTTTCCCACGATTTTCTGGGAATTTCCCACGATTTTTTGGGAATTTCCCACGATTTTTTGGGAATTTTCCACGATTTTTGGGGAATTTCCCCCGATTTTTGGGGAATTTCCCCCGATTTTTTTGGGATTTCCCACAATTTTTTGGGATTTCCCACGATTTTTTGGGAATTTCCCACAATTTTTTGGGGAATTTCCCCACGATTTTTTGGGATTTCCCCACGATTTTTTGGGATTTTCCCACGATTTTTTGGGAATTTCCCGCCTTTTCTGGTAATTTTCCCGCCATTTCCTCTCCCCCGCCGCCATTTTGCCCACAACCTCTTCCGGTGGGCGTGGCTTCTCTTAGCCCCGCCCACCCCCAGAACCCGGAAGTTCCGCCGGAAGTGAGCGCGCCTCGCTTTCCCATCAGCCCCCGCGGCCGCCAGGCCCAGGCGCCCCAACCCGGAAGCGCCGAAAAATTCCCTAAAAATTCCCAAATTTTTCCCCTCAAAAATTCGGGAATTCGCCCCAAAATCCCCTCGGGGGGACCCCCCGGAGCGGCCATGACGCTTTTCCACTTCGGGAATTGCTTCGCTCTGGCGTATTTCCCCTATTTCATCACCTACAAGTGCAGCGGCCTGTGAGGAACTGGGACAAACTGGGACAAACTGGGACAAACTGGGACGGACTGGGAGGGGCTGGGAGGGGCTGGGAGGGGGTTGGGGGCGGCTGGGAAAGGGTTAAAGGGAGGTTTGGGGTGACTGGTTGGTACTGGGAGGGGTTTTGGGGGGTTACTGGTTTGTACTGGTTTATACTGGGAGGGTTTTGGGGCCTGACTGGTTTGTACTGGTTTATACTGGTTTGTACTGGTGGCAGGTCCGAGTACAGCGCGTTCTGGCGCTGCGTCCAGGCCGGAGCCACCTACGTACTGGTGCAACTGGGAAAGGTGGGGAGGGGACTGGGGGGTTACTGGTTTATACTGGGAGGGGACTGGGAACGGCTAAAACCAAACTGGGAACCCCCAAAATTGAACTGGGATGGACTGGGAGGGGCTGGGAAAGGGTTAAAGGGGGGGTGGGGTTACTGGTTTATACTGGGTGGGACTGGGAGCCCCAAAATCCAAACTGGGAAGGAACTGGGAGGCCCAAAAATTGAACTGGTTTATACTGGGAGGGGGTTTGGGGTTACTGGTTTATACTGGGAGGGGACTGGGAACCCCCAAAATTGAACTGGGAGGGGGTTAAGGGGGGGTTACTGGTTTAAACTGGTCTGTACTGGTCCATACTGGTTTGTACTGGTCTCTAACTGGTTTGTGCTGGTTTGTACTGGTTTGTACTGGTTTGTACTGGTGTGACCGGAGCCCCTCCCCCCCCCAGATGCTTTTTTTGGCCACTTTTTTCCCCACCTGGGAGGGACCCACGGGCGGCTTCGACCTGCTGGGGGTGAGTGACCCAAAATCGGCCAAAATTCACCCAAAATTCACCCAAAAACTCACCTAAAAAACATCAAAAATGGGCCCAAAAATTCAACCAAAAATGGCCAAAATTCACCCAAAAATTGGCCCAAAATTCACCCAAAAATGGCCCAAAATTCACCTAAAAACCATCAAAAAATGGCTCAAAAATTCACCCAAAAAATGGCCAAAATTCACCCCAAAATTCACCAAAAAATGCCCCAAAACTCACCTAAAAAACATCAAAAATTGGCCCAAAAATTCACCCAAAAAATGGGCAAAATTCACCCAAAAATGGCCCCAAAATTCACCCAAAAATGGCCCAAAATTCGCCTAAAAATCATCAAAAATTGGCCCAAAAATTCACCCAAAAAATGGCCCAAAATTCGCCTAAAAAACATCAAAAATTCACCCAAAAATTCACCCAAAAAATGGGCAAAATTCACCCAAAAAATGGCCAAAATTCACCCAAAAACTGCCCAAAATTCGCCTAAAAAACATCAAAAATGGGCCCAAAAATTCACCCAAAATGGGCCCAAAATTCACCCAAAAATTGGCCCAAAATTCACCAAAAAATGGCCAAAATTCACCCAAAAATAGCTCAAAAATCACCTAAAAAACATCAAAAATTCGCCCAAAAATTCACCCAAAAATGGCCCAAAATTCGCCTAAAAAACATCAAAAATCGGCCCAAAAATTCACCGAAAAAATGGACAAAATTCACCCAAAAATGGCCCCAAAATTCACCCAAAAATGGCCCAAAACTCACCTACAAAACATCAAAAATTGGCCCAAAAATTCACCACAAAATCGGCCAAAAGTCACCCAAAAATGGCCCAAAATTCGCCTAAAAAACAGCAAAAATTCACCCAAAAATTCACCCCAAAAAATGGCAAAAATTCACCCAAAAATGGCCCAAAATTCGCCTAAAAACCATCAAAAATTTGCCAAAAAATTCACCCAAAAATGGCCCCAAAATTCACCCAAAATTGGCCCAAAAATTCACCCCAAAAATGGCCAAAATTCGCCCAAAAATGGCCCCAAAATTCACCAAAAAATATCCAAAAAGTTTCATCCAAAATGGCCCAAAAAATTACCCAAAAAATGCCCAAAATTCACCCAAAATCAGCCAAAAATTACCTTAAAATGGCCCAAAAATTAAATTAAAAATTCACCCAAAATCCCCCCAAAATTCCCGGTTTTCCCCCAAATTTTCCTCCAAATTCCCAAAATTTTCCCAAACTTCCCCAAAATTTTTACCAAAATTCCCTAAAATTCCCCAAATTTCCCAGAATTCCCCAAAAATCCCCCTAAAATTCCCCAAAATCCCCATTTTCCTCCGTAAAATCCCCATTTTTTGCCCGTTTTTCCCCATTTTTTGCCCGTTTTTCCTCATTTTTGCCCCAAATTTCCCCAAATTTTTTCCTAAAATTCCCAAATTTCGGTTTTTCCAGGAATTCCTTCGTGCCATATTCTTTTTCCCCCCAAAAAACCTCTCAAAAATCCCCATTTTCCTCCCTAAAATCCCCATTTTTTGCTCGTTTTTCCCCGTTTTTTAACCGTTTTTCCTCGTTTTTTACCCAATTTTTCCCATTTTTTTTTCCTAAAATTCTCTAAAATTCCCAAATTTTGGTTTTTCCAGGAATTCCTGCGTGCCACATTTTTTCCCCAAAACCCCCACAAAATCCCCATTTTCCTCCCTAAAATCCCCATTTTTTACCCATTTTTCCCCGTTTTTCGTTTTTTCCCCAATTTTTCCCAATTTTTTTCCTAAAATTCGCTAAAATTCCCAAATTTTGTTTTTTCCAGGAATTCCTGCGTGCCGTGGTTTTTTGCCAAAAAAACCCCCCAAAATCCCCATTTTCCTCCGTAAAAATTCCATTTTTTACCCGTTTTTCTCCGTTTTTTGCCCCTTTTTCCTCATTTTTTCCCCAAATTTTCCCAAATTTTTTCCTGAAATTCCCAAATTTTGTTTTTTTCCAGGAATTCCTGCGTGCCACGGTGGACGTGGCGGATCTGGGGGGGCTGCAGCTGGCGCTGGGCCGGGGCCGCAGTGTCCCCAAATCCCCCAAAATCCCTCAAAAATCCCCCCAAAATTCCTTGTTTTTCCCAATATTTTTCCCAAAATCCCCCAAATTCCCAATATTTATCCAGAAATTTCCAAGATTTCCCAAAATTTCCCGAAATTTCCAAAAAAAATCCATTTAAGATCCCAAAAAAATCCCCTTTTTTTTTGGCCCGTTTTTTCCCCGTTTTTGCCCATTTTTTCCCCGTTTTTTGCCCGTTTTTCCTCGTTTTTTCCCCAAATTTTCCCATTTTTTTTCCTAAAATTCCCAAATTTCCATTTTTTCCAGGAATTCCTGCGTGCCACATTTTTTCCCATAAAAAACCTCTCAAAAATCCCCATTTTCCTCCGTAAAATCCCCATTTTTGGCCCGTTTTTCTCCATTTTTTGCCCGTTTTTCCCCGTTTTTTGCCCGTTTTTCCTCGTTTTTTCCCCAAATTTTTTCCTGAAATTCCCAAATTTTGTTTTTCCCAGGAATTCCTGCGTGCCACGGTGGACGTGGCGGATCTGGGGGGGCTGCAGCTGGCGCTGGGCCGGGGCGGGGGTCGGGGGGAGCTGCGGATCCTCGTGGCCGCCCTGGGCTGGGCCAGCGCCGAGCTCCTGACCGCCAGGTGGGAAATTCGGGGGTTTTGGGGAAATTTGGGCAAAATTCGGGGATTTTGGGGATTTTTGGGGGAAATTTGGGGGATTTTATTTGGATTTTATTGGGATTTTTTGGGAGGATTTATTGGGATTTTATTGGGATTTTTTTGGGGGGATTTATTGGGATTTTTTGGGGTGATTTATTGGGAATTTTTTTGGGATTTATTGGTATTTTTTTGGGATTTTTGGGGGGGGATTTATTGGGATTTTATTGGGATTTTTTGGGGGGATTTATTGGGATTTTTTGGGGGGATTTATTGGGATTTTATTGGAGATTTATTGGTATTTTATTGGGATTTTTTGGGGGGATTTATTGGGATTTTTGTTGGGGATTTATTGGGATTTTATTGGGATTTTTTTGGGATTTGTTGGGATTTTTTGGGGGGATTTTATTGGGATTTTTTTTTTGATTTATTGGGATTTTATTGGGATTTTTCAGGAGTTTGGGGGGTTTTAGGGAATATTTGAATTTTAGGGGATTTTGGGGGTGAATATTTGGGAATTTTTGGATTTTTGGGGATTTTGGGAATTTTTGGGATGGAATTTTGGGAATTTTGGGAATCTGAGCCCGCCCCTCACCTGCCCAGGTGCGTTTTGTGGGGGGGATTTTGGGGTGAATTTTTGGCATTTTTGGGATGAATTTGGGTTAAATTTTGGGAATTTTTGGATTTTTGGGGATTTTGGGAATTTTTGGGATGGAATTTTGGGAATTTTGGGAATTTTGGGGACCTGACCCCGCCCCTCACCTGCCCAGGTGTGTCCCGCTCTGGGTGGGGGCGCGGGGGGTGGAGTTCGACTGGCGGCACCTCCAGATGGGGCTGGACTCCAACATCAGCCTGGTGAGACTGGGACAGACTGGTTTGTACTGGTTTATACTGGGAGGGCACTGGGAGGGCACTGGGAGGGGATTGGGGGTCACTGGTTTGTACTGGGAGGGACTGGGAGGGGATTTGGGGTCACTGGTTTGTACTGGGAGGGGGTTTGGGGTCACTGGTTTGTACTGGGAGGGATTGGGGGTCACTGGTTTATACTGGGAGGGGATTGGGGGTCACTGGTTTATACTGGGAGGGGATTTGGGGTCACTGGTTTATACTGGGAGGGGATTTGGGGTCACTGGTTTATACTGGGAGGGGATTTGGGGTCACTGGTTTATACTGGGAGGGGATTTGGGGTCACTGGTTTATACTGGGAGGGGATTTGGGGTTACTGGTTTATACTGGGAGGGGATTGGGGGTCACTGGTTTATACTGGGAGGGGATTTGGGGTCACTGGTTTATACTGGGAGGGGGATTTGGGGTCACTGGTTTGTACTGGGAGGGGTTTGGGGTCACTGGTTTATACTGGTTTATACTGGGACAGGATTTGGGGGCACTGGTTTATACTGGGAGGGACTGGGAGCACTGGTCCATACTGGTCCGTACTGGTTTATACTGGTTCTAACTGGTTTATACTGGTTTGTACTGGTCCAGGTGCGCACGGTGGCAGCGGTGGGTTACTGGTTTATACTGGTTTATACTGGTTTTATGGGTTTGTGCAGGTTTCTATGGGGTTATACTGGTTTAAACTGGTCCATACTGGTTTATACTGGTCCATACTGGTTCTAACTGGTTTATACTGGTTTATACTGGTGCAGGTGCGCACGGTGGCGGCGGTGGGTTACTGGTTTATACTGGTTTATACTGGTTTTATGGGTTTGTGCAGGTTTCTATGGGGTTATACTGGTCCATACTGGTCCATACTGGTTTATACTGGTTTATACTGGTTCTAACTGGTTTATACTGGTTTGTACTGGTCCAGGTGCGCACGGTGGCGGAAATGGGTTACTGGTTTGTACTGGTTTATACTGGTTTGATGGGTTTGTGCAGGTTTCTATGGGGTTATACTGGTCCATACTGGTTTATACTGGTCCATACTGGTCTGTACTGGTTCTAACTGGTTTATACTGGTTTGTACTGGTCCAGGTGCGCACGGTGGCAGAAATGGGTTACTGGTTTGTACTGGTTTATACTGGTTTATACTGGTTTGATGGGTTTTTTACTGGTTTGTAAGGGGTTATACTGGTCCATACTGGTTTATACTGGTTTATACTGGTTTGTACTGGTCCAGGTGCGCACGGTGGCGGCGGTGGGTTACTGGTTTATACTGGTTTATACTGGTTTATACTGGTTTGATGGGTTTGTGCAGGTTTCTATGGGCTTATACTGGTCCGTACTGGTCCATACTGGTTTATACTGGTTCTAACTGGTTTATACTGGTTTATACTGGTCCAGGTGCGCACAGTGGCCGCGTTGGGTTACTGGTTTGTACTGGTTTATACTGGTTTGATGGGTTAGTGCAGGTTTCTATGGGGTTATACTGGTCCATACTGGTTTATACTGGTCCATACTGGTTTGTACTGGTTCTAACTGGTTTATACTGGTTTTTACTGGTCCAGGTGCGCACGGTGGCGGCGGCCGCCCTCCTCTGGGCCTCGGGGCGCCACGACCTCCCCCCCCCCCTGCGGCTGCCCCTGGGGGGGCTCCTGGCGGCTGCGGCCTACGAGGGCTTCCTGATTGGGTAATTAACTCATTAATTAGCGCTAATTAGCGTTAATTAGTGACGGGGAAAGGATAATGAAGGGATTAATTATTTAATGATGGGGTCTGTGAGGGGTTCCTGATTGGGTAATGGTGGGGGAGGGGCCTATGAGGGCTTCCTGATTGGGTAATTAGCTCATTAATTAGCGCTAATTAATGGATTCATTAATTAACCAACCCCTCACGGGGAGGGGTTGCTGATAGGGTAATTAGTTAGTGGGTTAATTAATGGTGGGGGAGGGGTTTCTAAAGGGGTAATTAGTTAATTAATGATGGGGAGGAGTTCCTGGTTAGGTAATTAATTAACTAGTTAATGAATGGGTTAATTAATGGTTTTAATCCCCCCAAAATCCCAAAAAAACCCCAAAATCCCCATTTTCCTCCCTAAAATCCCCATTTTTTACCCGTTTTTCCTCATTTTTGCTCGTTTTTCCTCGTTTTTTCCCCAAATTTTTTCCTAAAATTCCCAAATTTTGTTTTTTTTCCAGGAATTCCTGCGTGCCGCAGTTTTTTCCCTTAAAATTCCCCCAAAATCCCCATTTTCCTCCCTAAAATCCCCATTCTTGGCCCGTTTTTCCCCGTTTTTCCCCCAAATTTTCCCGATTTTTTTTCCTAAAATTCCCAAATTTTGGTTTTCTTTAGGAATTCCTGCGTGCCACGTTTTTTTCCCTTAAAATTCCCCCAAAATCCCCATTTTCCTCCCTAAAATCCCCATTTTTTGCCCGTTTTTCCCCGTTTTTTCCTCGTTTCCCCCCAAAATTTCCCAAATTTTGTTCCTAAAATTCCCAAATGTTGTTTTTTTTCAGGAATTCCTGCATGCTGCAGTTTTTCCCAAAAAAAACCCCAAAATCCCTTTTTTTCCATCCTAAAATTCCCATTTTTTCCCCGTTTTTCCCCGTTTTTTCCTCGTTTCCCCCCAAAATTTCCCGATTTTTTTTCCTAAAATTCCCAAATTTTGGTTTTTTTCCGGAATTCCTTTGTGCCGCAGTTTTTTCCCCAAAAAATTCCCCAAAAATCCCCATTTTCCTCCCTAAAATCCCCATTTTCCTCCCTAAAATCCCCATTCTTGGCCCGTTTTTCCTCATTTTTCCCCCAAATTTCCCCAAATTTTTTTCCTAAAATTCCCAAATTTTGGTTTTTTTTTGGAATTCCTGCGTGCCGCGTTTTTTTCCCAAAAAATTCCCCCAAAATCCCCATTTTCCTCCCTAAAATCCCCATTTTTTACCCGTTTTTCCCCATTTTTCCCCCAAAGTTCCCCAAATTTTTTTCCTAAAATTCCCAAATTTTGTTTTTTTTCAGGAATTCCTGCATGCCACAGTTTTTCCCCAAAAAACCCCCCAAAATCCCCATTTTCCTCCCTAAAATCCCCATTTTTTACCCGTTTTTCCTCGTTTTTTCCCAAATTTTTTCCTAAAATTCCCAAATTTTGTTTTTTCAGGAATTCCTGCATGCCGCAGTTTTTCCCCAAAAAAATCCCCCAAAATCCCCATTTTCCTCCCTAAAATCCCCATTCTTGGCCCGTTTTTCCTCGTTTTTCCCCCAAATTTCCCCCAAATTTTTTCCTAAAATTCCCAAATTTTGGTTTTTTCCCCAAAAAACCCCAAAATCCCTTTTTTTCCTCCCTAAAATCCCCATTTTTTGCCCGTTTTTCCCCGTTTTTTCCCCGTTTTTCCCCGTTTTTTCCCCAAATTTTTTCCCTAAAATTCCCGAACCGGGGGGGGGGGTGGGACATCCAGGTGAGGGCGTGGCTCAGGTGAGCTGAGGCCACGCCCCTTTGTCTCCTCCCGCAGGTGGGCGGGGCAGGCGCTGGGGCTCGGCCCCTGGGGGGCGCTGGGGCTGCGGGCGCTGGGCGCCGCCGCGCTGGGGCTGGGGGCGCTGCGGCTGCTGGTGCCCCTCCTGCCGCCCCCCTGAGGCACCTGGGCGCACCTGGGCACACCTGGGCACACCTGGATACACCTGGGCGCACCTGGGCACACCTGGGCGCACCTGGGCACACCTGGATACACCTGGAGCACACCTGGATACACCTGGAGGGGGCACCTGTGCCGTTCTGGGGGTGCCAGGTGTGCCCACGCTCCTCCTGGGCACACCTGGACACACCTGGAGGTGTCACCTGTGCAGTTCTGGGGGTGCCAGGTGTGCCCACACTCCTCCTGGGCACACCTGGACACACCTGAGCACACCTGGGCACACCTGGAGGGGTCACCTGTGCCGTTATTGGGGTGCCAGGTGTGCCCGTGACCCTCCTGCCGCCCCCCTGAGGCACCTGGGCGCACCTGGGCACACCTGGGCACACCTGGGCACACCTGGAGCACACCTGGATACACCTGGACAAAGATGGATGAACATGGATACACCTGGAGGAGTCACCTGTGTGGATATTGCGGTGCCAGGTGTGCCCACACTCCTCCTGGGCACACCTGGGCACACCTGGATACACCTGGAGGAGTCACCTGTGCGGTTATTGGGGTGCCAGGTGTGCCCACGCTTCTCCTGGGCACACCTGGGCACACCTGGACACACCTGGATAAAGATGGATACACCTGGAGGAGTCACCTGTGCCATTATGGGGGTGCCAGGTGTGCCCGTGCCCCTCCTGACGCCCCCCTGAGTGCACCTGGGCACACCTGGGCACACCTGGGCACACCTGGGCACACCTGGATAAAGATGGACACACCTGGAGGAGTCACCTGTGCCATTATTGGGGTGCCAGGTGTGCCCGTGCCCCTCCTGGGCACACCTGGAGCACTTACCTGTGCCATTATGGGGGTGCCAGGTGTGCCCGTGCCCCTCCTGCCGCCCCCCTGAGGCACCTGGGCACACCTGGGCACACCTGGATACACCTGGATAAAGATGGAAACACCTGGATAAAGATGGATGAACGTGGATACACCTGGAGGAGTCACCTGTGCCATTATTGGGGTGCCAGGTGTGCCCGTGCCCCTCCTGCCACCCCCCTGAGCACACCTGGGCACACCTGGGCACACCTGGAGCACACCTGGAGCACACCTGGATACACCTGGATGAAGATGGATGAACATGGATACACCTGGAGGAGTCACCTGTGCGGATATTGGGATGCCAGGTGTGCCCACGCTTCTCCTGGGCACACCTGGGCACACCTGGGCACACCTGGGCACACCTGGATACACCTGGATAAAGATGGATGAACATGGATACACCTGGAGGAGTCACCTGTGCGGTTCTGGGGGTGCCAGGTGTGCCCACACTCCTCCTGGGCTCACCTGGACACACCTGGATAAAGATGGATGAACATGGACACACCTGGAGGAGTCACCTGTGCAGTTCTGGGGGTGCCAGGTGTGCCCGTGCCCCTCCTGCCGCCCCCCTGAGGCACCTGGACACACCTGGGCACACCTGGATACACCTGGAGCACACCTGGATACACCTGGATAAAGATGGATACACCTGGAGGAGTCACCTGTGCCGTTATTGGGGTGCCAGGTGTGCCCGTGGCCCTCCTGGGCACACCTGGGCACACCTGGAGGAGTCACCTGTGCAGTTCTGGGGGTGCCAGGTGTGCCCATGCCCCTCCTGGGCACACCTGGGCACACCTGGGCACACCTGTGGGCACAAGAATCGCGTCCAGGTGTGCGGGGGAGGGGCTCAGGTGGGTCCCAGGTGTGCCCGCAGCCCCTCCCCCACCCTGAGCAATAAACACACCTGGACACACCTGCCCGACTCACCTGTGCCTTTTGTTTCTTAATAAAATTTTAAAATCACAATTTCACCCAAAAATTCCCAATTTTCTTCCTCTCAAATTCCCGGATTTTGCCGCCAAACGTTCCCGTTTATTCCCCACCCAAAACCCCAAATTTTACCCCCAAAATTCCCAATTTTTCCACCCAAATCTTCCCGTCTATGCCTCCAAAATTCCCAGTTTTCCCCCCAAAATTCAGATTTTTTTCTCCCCTAAAATGTCCCATTTTCTCCCCAATTCCCCCACAAATTCCCCAATTTCCCCTCCAAACATTCCCAAATTTTCTCTCACAAATTCCCACTTTTTCCACCCAAATGTTCCCATCTACGCCTCCAAAATTCCCAATTTTCCCCCCAAAATCCCCAATTTTTTTCACCCCAAACTTCAGATTTTTTTCCCCTAAAATGTCCTAATTCCCCCCCAAATTCCCCAATTTCACCCCCAAACATTCCCAAATTTTCCCTCCCAAATTCCCAATTTTTTCCCCCAAATCTTCCCATCTACGCCTCCAAAATTCCCAATTTTCCCCCCAAAATTCACAATTTTTTTCCCCCCAAAATTCTGAATTTTTTCTCCCCCAAAATGTCCCAATTTCCCCCCAAATTCCCCAATTTCCCCCCAAATTCCCCAATTTCCCCCCCAAACATTCCCAAATTTTCCCTCCCAAATTCCCAATTTTCCCCCCAAAATCCCCAATTTTTTTCACCCCAAACTTCAGATTTTTTTCCCCTAAAATGTCCTAATTCCCCCCCAAATTCCCCAATTTCCCCCCCAAACATTCCCAAATTTTCCCTCCCAAATTCCCAATTTTCCCCCCAAAATCCCCAATTTTTTTCCCCAAAAAATTCTGGGTTTTTTCCCCCAAAATGTCCCAATTTCCCCCCAAATTCCCCAATTCTCCCCCAAATTCCCAATTTCACCCCCAAACATTCCCAAATTTTCCCTCCCAAATTCCCAATTTTCCCCCCAAAATCCCCAATTTTTTTCACCCCAAAATTCTGAATTTTTTTTCCCCCAAATTGTCCCAATTCCCCCCCAAATTCCCCAATTTCACCCCCAAACTTTCCCAAATTTTCCCTCTCAAAATCCCCAATTTTTTTCCCCCAAAAATTCTGGGGTTTTTTCCCCCAAAATGTCCCAAATCCCCCCCAAATTCCCCAATTTTCCCCCAAAATTCCCCAATTTCCCCCCAAATTCCCCAATTTCACCCCCAAACATTCCCAAATTTTCCCTCCCAAATTCCCAATTTTTTCCCCCAAACCTTCCCATTTTTCCCCCCAAAATTCCCATTTTTTTTCCCCCAAAATTTCTCAATTCCCCCCAAATTCCCCATTTTCCCCCCAAATTCCCCAATTCCCCCCAAATCCCCCAATTTCACCCCCAAACATTCCCAAATTTTCCCTCCCAAATTCCCAATTTTTTCCCCCAAATTTTCCCATTTATCCCCCCAAAATTCCCATTTTTTTTCCCCCCAAAAAATTCCCAATTTCCCCCCTCAAAATTCCCAAATTCCCCCCCAAAATCACCAAATTTCCCCCCCCCAAATTTTCCCCCCACGAATCGCTCATCAAAGGCTCATTGATCACTATTAATTAACCACTAATTAACCATTAATTAATCATTAATTACCCATTAATTAATCATTGACCAGCGGCACAAAAGGAACGGGGGGGGGGGGGCGCCCCTCCCCCACCGCGATAAGGCCCCTCCTGATAAGGGGGGGAGGGGGAGGGGCGACAGAGAGGACGGGAGGCCCCTCCCCCCCCTCAGGTGTGACCCCCAGGTGTCCCCAGGTGTGCCCAGGTACCCCCAGGTGTGCCCAGGTGTCCCCTCCCCCCTCTCAGGTGTCCCCCAGGTATCCCCAGGTGTCCCCTCCCCTCTCAGGTGTCCCCAGGTGTGTCCAGGTACCCCCCAGGTGTCCCCTCCCCCCCCCCAGGTGTGACCCCCAGGTGTTCCCAGGTGTGCCCAGGTACCCCCAGGTGTCCCCTCCCCCCTCTCAGGTACCCCCTGGTGTCCCCTGCCCCCTCTCAGGTGTCCCCCAGGTGTGCCCAGGTGTCCCCAGGTGTGACCCTCAGGTGTCCCCAGGTACCCCCAAGTGTCCCCTGCCCCCTCAGGTGTCCCCAGGTGTGCCCAGGTACCCCCAGGTGTCCCCTTCCCCCCCCAGGTGTCCCCCAGGTGTGCCCAGGTGTCCCCCAGGTACCCCCAGGTGTGCCCAGGTGTCCCCTCCCCCCTCTCAGGTGTCCCCAGGTGTGCCCAGGTGTCCCCTCCCCCCTCAGGTGTGACCCCCAGGTGTGCCCAGGTGTGCCCAGGTACCCCCAGGTGTCCCCTCCCCCCTCAGGTGTGCCCAGGTGTCCCCTCCCCCCCCTCCAGGTATTCCCAGGTGTCCCATCTCCTCCAGGTGTGACCCCCAGGTGTGCCCAGGTACCCCCCAGGTGTGACCCCCAGGTGTGCCCAGGTGTGCCCAGGTACCCCCAGGTGTCCCCCAGGTGTCCCTCAGGTGTGCCCAGGTGTGCCCAGGTACCCCCAGGTGTCCCCAGGTGTCCCCTCCCCCCCGAGATATCCCCCAGGTGTCCCCGCCCCTCCCCCAGGTGTGCCCAGGTGGGGTCACCTTGGGGCGGCTCCGCGGGGCTTTAAAAGGGACCGGGAGGGACCGGGAGGGACCGGGAGAGACCCGAGAGAGCCATGGGCAAAGAGGTGAGAGGGACGGGGGAGAGGGGGAGATGGGGAGAGGGAGGGGAGAGGGAGAGGGAGGGTGAGGAGGAGGAGGAGAGAGGGACGGGAGGAAGGAAGGAGGGATGGAGGATTGGGGAGAGAGGGAGGGAGGGAAGGAGGGATGGAGGAGGGAGAGGAAGGGAGGAAGAAGAGGGATGGAGGGAGAGGAAAGCAGGGAGGGAAGGAGGAGGAAGGATGGGGAGAGGGAAAGGAAGGGAGGGGTGAGAGGGAGGAGGAAGAAGAGGGATGGAGGGGGGAGGGAGGAAGAGGGAGAGATGGAGGGAGGGAGGAGGGGAGAGGGAAGGAGAGAGAGGGAGGGGGGAGGAATGGAAGGAGAGGAGGAGGAGGAGGAGAGAGGGAGGAAGGAAATGGAGAGAGGGAGGAAGAGGGATGAGGGGGAGGGAGGAGGATTGAGGGGAGATGGAGGAGGGGAGAGGGACGAAGGAGTGGAGGGAGGAAGAAGAGGGAGGGAAGGAGAGGAGGAAGGATGGGGAGAGGGAGAGGAAGGGAGGAGAGAGGGAGGAAGAAGAGGGATGGGGGGATGGAGGAAGGAGGAGGAAAGAGGGAAGGAGAGAGAGGGAGGGGGAGGAATGGAAGGAGATGAGGAAGAGGAGGAGGAGAGATGGAGGGAATGGGGAGAGGGAGGACGAAGAGGGATGGAGGGAGAGGAAGGCAGGGTGGGAAGGAGAGGATGAAGGATGGGGAGAGGGAGAGGAAGGGAGGGGTGAGAGGAGAGGGAGGAAGAAGAGGGATGGAGGGGGAGGGAGGAGGATTGAGGGGAGATGGAGGGGGGGAGAGGGAGAGAGGGATGGGGGGATGGAGGAAGGAGAGATGGGGAGGGAGGGAGGGAAGGAGTGAAAGGAGAGAGGGACGGGAGGGGGAGGGAGAATGGATGGAGAGGAAGGGAGGAGAGAGGGAGGAAGGAGCGGAGGGAGGAAGAAGAGGGAGGGAAGGAGAGGAGGAAGGATGGAGAGAGGGAGAGGAAGGGAGGGGACAGAGGAGAGGGAGGAAGAAGAGGGATGAGGGGGAGAGAGGAAGGAGGGAGGGAGGGAGGTGAGGAGGAGGAGGAGAGATGGAGGGAATGGGGAGAGGGAGGAAGGCCGGGGTGGGAGGAGAGAGGGAGGGAGGAGGATAGAGGGGAGAGAGGGATGAGAGGAGGAGGAGGAGAGAGGGAGGAAGAAGAGGGATGGAGGAGGAGGGAGGAGGATTGAGGGGAGATGGAGGAGGGGAGAGGGAGAGGGGGATGGGAGGAGATGGAGGGGGAGGGAGCGGAAGGGAGGGGGGAGGGAGAGATGGAGAGAGGAAGAAGAGGGATGGAGGAAGGAGAGAGGGAGAGGGAGAGGGAGAGAGGGAGGAGGAGGGGAGAGGGAAGGAGAGGGGGGAAGGAATGGAAGGAGAGGAGGAGGAGGAGGAGGAGGGGAGATGGAGGGAATGGGGAGAGGGAGGAAGAAGAGGGATGAGGGGATGGAGGAAGGAGAGAGGGGGATGGAGGGAGGGAGGGAGGGAGGGAGGGACGGGAGGGAGAGGGAGAAATGGAGGTAGAGGAGGAGGAGGAGGAGGAGGAGGAGGAGAGAGGGAAGGAATGAGGAGGGGGAGGAAGGCCGGGGAGAGGGGCGGGAGAGGGGCGGAGGAGGATGGGGGGAGATGGCGAGGCCACGCCCCCTCCCCCTGACCCCTGACCCCGCCCCTCCCCCCAGAGTTTGGAGCTCCGCCCCTCCCCCCGCGGGTGGGGCCGGCGCAAGGAGCGGCAGCGGCTGGAGGAGATGAAGCAGGAGCTGGAACTGGTGCGGACTGGTTTATACTGGTTTATACTGGGAGGGACTGGTTTGGGGGTGGGGGACTGGTTTGGACTGGTTTATACTGGGAGGGACTGGGAGGGAACTGGGGTTACTGGTCTGGACTGGTTTGTACTGGTTTAGGGGGTGGGTTACTGGTTTGGACTGGTTTATACTGGGAGGAACTGGGGTTACTGGTGTGGACTGGTTTATACTGGTTTGGGGACTGGGTTACTGGTCCATACTGGTTTATACTGGTCCGTACTGGTCCATACTGGTCCGTACCGGTTTATACTGGTCCATACTGGTTTAT